GGATGAGCGCTAACCCTGGGTTAAAATTTAACCTGCTGTTTTAGTTTATGTATTTCTGCATGTCTGTTTATTTCAAAACGTTAGCAGAGAAAGCTCCTATACTGATCCAGACAACGTTTCTGAAGAAATATTCCTAAATTTATAAACAAACCTGTTAGGAAAGTTTGATTTGAATTTTAAGTTAACGTCGGGCCCCAGGGGGCTTAAAAGGGAAGTAATATATTATATATCACATACCTCTTGTCGTTGTTTATTATTAACATCCTTGAGGTATCCATACGCGTGTTCCCGATGCTCCATTATCAAACACTCTCTGCACACGGGATCATCGCACGTTTCGCAATAATATTTCAAGATCTCCCTGTCATGCTGACTACAATACAGTGGTCTGTGCATTTTGTCTTGCACATCGGAAGATTGCAAATCTTTCAGGGCCATGACTTCGTGTTCCTTGGTAAGCTTGGTCCGTTTGTGCGCGGCGAGGCATTGCTCACACAAAAATTCCACGCAATCTCCACACCGTGCTACGGCGTGTGAATGATCCTGACAATTCGTACAATCGATTGGTTTCGATGAAAACGATTGAACTGTTATGAAATCCAACATGTTATTGATGAAAAAGTTCGTTGGAAGTTCTTGTACACCCCCTTGAGGTAGCTGAATTTCGTTCCGGCATGTCGGACACAAAATAGCGTTCTCGCCTTCTTTAAGAATCCTTTGGAGACATTTTTGGCAAAACGAATGCAAACATGGCAGAATTTTCGGCGTTTCAAAGGTTTCCAGGCACACAGGGCATTTTAAAAGCTGTTCTGACAGTTGACTTATGTTTACGGTAGCCATGAAGCGAACATGTAATAATATTTTCAAAAATTGAAATTTAATGACAAGTTAATTGTACTTCTTCGTTATTTCGTTGGCCGCAAGGAATCTTCCTTCGTTTGGATTGGACCGCATTTTCCATAAACTATCCCATCACCTTCCCACATATAATGTCCTTTTCTTTCAAATGAAATAAGTTTTGTTATTTTCATACCTAACAAGTCAACTATAAAACTTGCTTTCGTATAGAAGAGTTCGTGCGTAATGTTACAGGTGGTATTCAAATTTGCATTGCAAATGGACTCAGTGTACCTGTTACAAAGTTTTATTACTTTTATAGAATGAGATTGATTTTAGAGACAAACAGCAACCAAGACCGTTATACCTTTCTTTTATACAATTTTTCCGCCCGAAAGACATTGTCGTTGGCTCTCAAAATCATTCAAATTTACATCGCATGTAATGACATTGAATTCGCGGTGTACCAGCTAGTTACCATGTATAAGCTTTGATTTGACAGACAAACGCCCGTATTCTAAAAGCTCACTCACACACACTCAATGAGTGAAAGTTCAATCTGAGCTTCTCTCGAGTGTCATTGCCGTTTTTGAATAGCCGGAGGACTAGTGTCATACCTTACTATGTGACTACTCGCCCTCCCACAGTTATTTTAATAGATGGTTTGGAGACTCGATGAAAGTACAATATAACTCATGAAAGTACAATATAACTCATTAACTATGTTATTTTCCAGCTTTATGCAAGAATTTGGTCCTATCTCGTCACGTGTGTATTGTATTTTCGCTCAAATAACCAATAACAAGTTTGTGGTTGAGTTATCCATCCGTAACTTGAACAAATGCTCAATTTAAACATTCCTATTGATTGTGCGGGAAAAAAATACAATACACACGTGACGAGATAGGCCCAAATTCTTGCATAAACCGAAACCAACATAGTTAATGAGTTATATTGTACTTTCATCGAGTCTCCAAACCATGTATTCTATTAACTGTGACCCTCCAGCTATTCAAAAACAGCATTGATTCTCAAGAGAAGCTCAGATTGAACCTCCACAGGCACCCATTGAGTGCGAGTGTGAGTGAGCTTTCAGTATACGGGCGAAAGAGCAGCTATATTTGCCATCATATACGATTCAATCTTTTTAAAATCTGCCTGACCGTGCTTGGCATGCTTCATTTGCGTCTATTATGGAATTGCGCTTTTTTTAGTTACACGTTTTGCGAGCTCAATCGCAAGTTAAAAATCTTCAATATACGCTCAAATTTTGAACAATTTTATTTAGGAATCGGAACTTTGCTCATGCATCAGTCCATTTGTTTGTTAAAAGCGAGGTAACTGGTAATTACGTCTGTATTTATATGCTGGATACAACATATAGATGTCCAAAACAGGCCAAGCCATATAGGATTATCAGGATTTGGGCAACTCATTCGATATAACTAATCGTTGAAGGGATTGGTAAGAAAACCCTCGAATTAAGCAGGTAAATAGCTTACTTTTTATCCACCCCATGCAGACATTTGGAAATTTGAAAAAGTCGAAACGCGTACATGATCTATACAAATAAGGGAATGCTATTGGATAAGGTTTTGTGTGACGTAACTCCGTGCGTCTATCCTCTAATTAGCCTTTTCCCACAGTGCATTCTGGGATCGTTTGGAGGGACAAAATGTATAGTGACAGGCGTCAAATATGTGAAAGAGTAGACGTTCTACTATCAAATATCAACTTTTTAGACGACCAAAAATGAAATATCTTTTTTACATTAAACTTTTAATTTAAATGTGTGCAGCCATATTTCTTGTCCCTCCACAATCTCGTTCCCCGAGCCTGCGAGCCTCGGGAAGGAACGCGAGGCTCTGGGATAATCCGTTTCAGGGAGGAATCTGATTGGCCGTTGAAATGGAATGCGTAGTTCATGAAATCTTAGCCAGAATTCCTGGCTTCCGGTAACGGATTATCCCAGAGCCTCGCGTTCCTTCCCGAGGATCGCAGGCTCGGGGAACGAGATTGGTCCCTCCAACATGGGATTTGCGCGACTAGACCCAGGATTTGGCTAACAGATCATGGCTCTGGACCAATGAAAGCGCTTGAATTCGTAACGTTATTATATAAATACACATACCATCATGCGTCAACACCCTAAGCTTGCAAACTTGTATCACACTCCAAATCTTCACGAGGTGGACAACACTTGTTGATTTTTCTGCACATTTTGACTAAAAAATAAAAAAACAACTAAGAGAACTCGTTTATCTTAAACTAACATTAAGATTGCAATCTATATAATAGAATAGTATATAGTGTTCAAATTTGAAGGAGTTGAAACAAATACACCAGGCAAATGAAATGTACAAAATTTACAATCAAAATTTTCATCTACAGTATATACCCTGTCAACTACAATATACACCCTTTCGAACAAACTTAGGCCTGTTTCAAACGTCGAGCTTCTCATGTGACAAACGCATTAAAAACAATTGGTAATCAGCTGAAATGCCTCATTATCTATTGGTTCTAATGCGTTCGGAGTGTTCGGCAAATAAGAAGCGCGCCGTTTGAAACAGGTCTTACTGATGGATATTGATACTGTTGTTCGCATGAATACGATATACGCCTGTATTCTAAAAGCTCACATACTCAAAGAGTGGAGGTTCAATCTGAGCTTTCCTTGAGTGTCAATGTTGTTTTTGAATAGCTGGAGGGTTAGTGTCGTACCTTACTATGTGACTACTCACCTTCCAGCTATTCAAAAACAGCACTGGCACTCAAGGAAAGCTCAGATTGAACCTCCACCCTTTGAGCGTGATTGAGCTTTTAGAATACAGGCGTTAGAGTCATGACAAAACTATTGGAAAAAGTTCTGTAATTGGGTGATTATAGCTATAATAAAAATTCAGTACAGATTTAAAAAAAAAAACCGACAATAATTATTTGTAATCGTCAAACGTCGCAGACTGTTAGATGAACATGATTCAACATATTCCAACCGATCAGCCCAAATTACCCAACACAATGTTCATGCAAACGAGGCCACTATAAGGGGCCGATTACATGGAGCATTTTCAACCCCGGGGTTGAAATTTCAACCCTGCTTCAGCTAGCAGGGTTGAAATTATAATGAGTTATTCGAGCATACGTACATGGTAGTGACTATTTATTACAAGAAAACAAAATAAAGGCTTTTTTACTTCCGCGAATCGATGCCGAGAACGTACAGTATAACGTTTTAACGCCGGGGTTGAAATCGTCCATGTAATCGCAAAAAATTTCAACCCGGTTAACAGGGCTGAGTTCAACCCCGGGGTTGAAAATGCTCCATGTAATCGGCCCCTAATGCGCCTTATATACACCCGTTTTCAAAATTACGCGACCAGCCTGAAAAATACTCTTACTTCAAATGTCAGTTTTATGTCACAAGAAATAGCAAACGTAAACAAACTGTCAAACGATATTTTAAACCGTATTTAATACCAAAACTGAACAAAAATGAGTTGGATAACTTAGATATACAAACTAAAGCACAATACAAACCATCACAACAGAAATATGTGCCGTGAATGACTCTTAAAGTTTGAAAAATAACAATTTATCCTGGAATTTAGCTGTCAGTATAAAACACGCGCGCTAGACAAAAGTATAGCGGTGATGTTTAATTATGATTTTGTTGTGCTTAATTAAATTTTGCAATAATTCTCACTAAAATATCTTGAAAATCATTGTAAGCCTGTTTATATAAAGCATACGAAGCGTATACATCGACAAGGAACCGCAAAACTCGAAGTTTGAACTTCGTGACCGAATGACATAAAACTGACATGTCAACTCTAGCATTTTCGTCCTTGGTCGCGTAATTTTGAAAACGGGTGTAAATTGAAGGTCATTAATGGTCCAACCCAAAGGACTTTATCTAGAGATATTGACCGCGATGGCACTGCGTTAATTGTTAGTAGTAATTTTCCTCGGTCTCGAGTCTCGTGGTTACAGTTAAGGTTCTCAAAAGTAAATATAGGTAGAAAAGAGCTATTGTCGGTATCAGCCATGCATCGAGAGAGTCTATCCCATTTTCGTTAGCGCAAGACCAGGGAGATGTTTTGCAGAGGCGGAGCACCACATGCCCTCAGATCAGGTTTCGATCTCCGATGAATGCTCTGCCGACACGATACCGGAAAAAAGACCTCGTATATTTATTCTCAACTGGATTTTTTTATCACTTTGACTAAAAATCGTCCACTGACGTTTTGGGGCAACTGTATATAATTCTATATAATTATACAACAGTACTGCATACACTACCGGGACAGCTGTCCAAAATGTATTAACAATATAACAACCTGTATATACCTATATAATTATTACAGAATATTGGATATGATATTATCTGCCGAGTTTTTTTTCACTGTGACTGTAAAACGGCCCATGGAATTTAAAGGCAACTTATCGTCTCACGCGCATATATACAGTCGCAATAAATTCCATGCATACTTGTTATGTTTTCGACTGTTTTATAACCGGCAGTCAAATGCATTAAGCCGTTTTCAGGCTTGAATTAATTATGCATGTATATTATTCATCTCTCAATGCTAAAACAAACAGGAACAGAAGTCGTCAAATGTACATACGTTTTGTAGATTGAAGAATATAAAACGTAAAAAGCTACAATTTGTTTGCTTACGTACTTATATACACTTCGCTTTTTTCGTGTGACGTTTTTGAGGGTATCGTTGAAAATGTTCCTGGTTGTGCCTGGTTGTCTATTGCTGGGTAAGTTGTAATATTATATATATACCCTGTGTCTAAAACACTGTAACAAACTTAGGCAATTACAGTTCAAACGATTTGGATGCAACATTGTTGCATGGACTCGTTTGAACACTATCTATCTATATCTATCGTAAAATCATGCAATCATTTCGATCAGAGCAAACTAAAATTGGTAATGTTGGCTCGAGTTGACTTGGTAATGTTGGTTCATCTCAACATCATCTAACATTGGCCTCGTTTGATCATGAACACTATCTCTCTATCGTATAAAATTTGTTTGACTTTAGTTCAAAATTTTAGTTCATAGGCATAGCCGCTTTATTGATCGTGATCAGTGAATCCAGTTCGTGTATCTCGGGCCTCGGTCTACCCTGGAATCTGTACTAAAACCACTAATTCTGTTTTGTGATGATTGGCGCGGTTTAATCAAAGAATCGCCCCGTTGAACCAGAGCCTTCGCGACATTTCAATTTATTAGAGACCTTAAGATTGACGTTTACGGCAAACGTCAAACCGCTAGCGAAGTTTTTGATTTTACAACTCTATTATTATAGCTTTCACACCAGTTTTCAAATATGTTAAACTTACCAAACTTGTGCTCTTTATCAATGATTTAAGAAAGCAAATTACCCACTAGTCATGCCACTCACCAAAGCAGTAAATTAAGATTTGGCGTTTGAAGTTGACGTTTGGCGTATAAATTTCATGCTTTAACGACTACAAGCCCTCGTAGCAGTTCAAGCATGAAATTTATACGCCAAACGTCAACTTCAAACGCCAAATCTTAATTTACTGCTTTGGTGAATGGCATGACTAGTGGTTAATTTGCTTTCTTTAAATCATTGATAAAGAGCACAAGTTTAATAAGTTTAACATATTTCAAAACTGGTGTAAAAGCTATAATAATAGAATTGTAAAATCAAAAACTTCGCTAGCGGTTTGACGTTTGCCGTAAACGTCAATCTTAAGGTCTCTATTATCGCCAACCATATGCAGTTTGCCGCATATTTCAGATTTAGTTTTGCAATGCATCATGCCTCGTTTTTGAAAAGAATTTCACGTATGGAAGCAATGATGTACTAGCTCTTGAGTTTTCATATAATGGTTTTCAAAGATATTTGATATATCTAGTTGTTAAAATGCCATGTCATTCCTCACTCATGCATGCACTGAATCGAAATTTTTATTTTTTAATCGATTGTTTACTGTCGAAGGCTCTGGAATCCATATATTTATCAGAAAACATATAAAAATTAAAGCAGAAAGAGCAAACAGAAACGAATGATAAATATAAGGACAATTTATACACATACATAAATACATGCAGACATTATTTAATCATGCCAGCCACGACAACTTTTAAAGCTGGTTTCAATGAGGGCGTATATTCATAAACTATATGCATATAAATTATGGCGGTACAAAATAAAAGGATCACAAGGAGAAGACAAAAACAAGACATTATTAATTCATTCAAAGATATATTGGCAAATTAGCGTGCCGGTTTCAACTCATTCTTTGTTTTAGAATCGCTAATTTTAACAACACTTAAGAACACAATATAATTCTTGCCTCATAGAAAAGATTATTCCAAAGTGCGGCACCAGTGATAATTGCCGAAATTTTTATATGTAGTTCTTTTTCCCAAATTAATCGTAATTTATACAAGCGATACTGTATTTAGTACTCACTCATGTCGAATGCTAGGCGACTTTTTTAAATTAGGAACCTTCGGAGATTTTCTTCGACGTTAAACCGCTGACCGCGGCTTATCGCCAACCATATGCAGTTTGCCGCATATTTCAGATTTAGTTTTGCAATGCATGCCTCGTTTTTGAAAAGAATTTCACGTATGGAAGCAATGATGTACTAGCTCTTGAGTTTTCATATAATGGTTTTCAAAGATATTTGATATATCTAGTTGTTAAAATGCCATGTCATTCCTCACTCATGCATGCACTGAATCGAAATTTTTCCGGCATTTTCAATGCCCCATGCATGCAAGTGCTGCCCTTGTTAAAATGTTAGGACTACGCGTTTTGGGCCGAAAGTGGTGCATCTTCCCGTGCGTAATACAAATTAATACAAAATTTGCAAATTTCGCAGGGCTATATTTTCCGCATTTTACAACATTTCGCAACCAAACTTTGCAATTTTGCTAATTTTAACATGCTCTTTCTAGCTGTGCTGATGGATTTTGTTATTCTTGCCTAGGTCAAAATTTAGTCTATAGCCGGAATCGAACAGTTGCACCGACGTGCAGCAAAATTTATTCTTTCGCTCCTGTACAAAACATCTATCTCGTATAAGAAACGATTGGCTACCATAGGAATCCTCGGCCTCTATGTTACTGGCATGAGTATTTAGATATGGTGTATCTTCACAAATGCCTTATAAATAACTCTGACAGTAACATATCTATAAAGATTCCTACACGAGAAACAAGGAATACTAGTTCAACCAACGGCATCCTACTTCATGTAACCAAAAGTAAAACTGTTTCTTTTCAAAACAGCTTTTACATCAGAGCTGCTAATGTGTGGAACATGTTTCCCGGCTTCATATGAAATACCACCACATCTCTAGCTGCATTTAAGTGTAATCTAATGAAATATTACGTAGAATTAACCCAACAAATTTATGATCCTGAAGATCCAAGAACATTTAAGTCTGTGTGTATTAAATGTCACACCACTCGCCCACTAATGAACTTATCAACTCGAACATGTTGCTAAATTTAGTTTTTGTTCGTTTGTTCGTCAATACGTTTGCTTTGTCTTCTTGTATTTGTGTTTAATTGTTATGTTTGCCTTAACTTCAAAATAATTAGATATACCATTAGTTGTTCTTTTTTGGAACCCCGTTATTGGAGAACTATCTCTGTGTGGAAATTCCAGTCATTTGTAACCATAGTACTCTATATAGATCTATTGCAATGGCAAACTTGTAAAATAAATAGAATTGCCCATTGTATCTATATACAATTTTCAACCTAACAGTTGCAGGGGTTTTTTGTAGATGGAAATTTTGAAAGGAAGATTATATACAATTTTAGACTTAACCATGCAGATTATATACAATTTTAGCGGACTTAACCATGAGTATAGGCCCTCTCGCAGGAATCGAATTACCTGCGATTCCAGTGCAACACTCTAACCAACTGAGCTACATGTAAAATGCACTAACATGCACTGACCGTTAACCATGCAAGGGTGGGTTGTAGCGAAGTAGTTGTAGTTCGCTACTGTAGCGAACTACAATTTTCAAGTAGCCAGTAGTTTTTTACTACTTTTTTAAAAGAGTAGTTGTAGTTATAGCGAACTACATTTTGCCTAAAAGTAGCCAAGTAGTTGACTACTTTTCAAACAGCGAATCGCTATTCGCTACTTTTTAAAATATGTTAGCAACCGTTCATAGAATAGAATGATATTAAGACACGGTTTGCTTAAAATATTATTTTATACAGTAAAGATTATTTTAGCGCAATGAAAAGTGGCACTCCTGAACACTGTAGTGCTTACAAAAATGTTGCTTTGAGCCTTTTTGTTTACTGTTGCTATACTCGTAAGTCGATTTGTTGTAGATTATATTACAGCCTGAGCTAGTGGATGCTCCAAATACCGTAAAACTAAAAAATATAGAGTAGCGAAATAGCGAAATAGTTCGCTACATTTTTTAAACAGTAGCTGTAGTCAGTAGCGAACTACTTTTGTTCAAAAGTAGCAGTAGTTGTAGTTGTTTACATATTTTTGAAGTAGCTGTAGTTATAGCGAACTACAAAAATTTTGTAGTCAAGCCACCCTTGCCGTTAACACCACTTAACTGTTCTTCTCTGTTCTTTTATAGTTTTCAGTGGCGTCCAAAGCAAGACGTCCATCGATTTAATGCAACATCTTTTCAATGCCAGTCGCTATGATAAACGAGTCATTCCGTCAGCTGGACGAGGAACTAATGTACCTTTGAACGTTTCAATGGGATTGGCATTAATGCAAATTGAAAATTTGGTAAGTTTCCAATACAATGAAATGGCGAAAAATATAATGGGCACGCATGCGTATAGTGCTTGATCAGTATCGTTATGTGAGATTTATAAGAGTTACAATAATAATAATAATAATAATAATGACTTTATTTCAGTACGAGGTGGCTCTTCACCTGAGATACAGTATCTATTTACAAAGATATACTATCTATTTAATTTCTATAATAAACACATAAAAACTAACATCGATTATAAGAAAAATAGTGTCTCTATATATAGTCCAAGCGAGATTTAGCTTTCTCAAACAAATAATTAAAAGTGTTCCTGCGAAACACATTAAAATCAGGACATGCAGTTACGTGTTTCTAATGGCAAGTTATTAAAAAACTTAGCAGCTTGGTCTTGAAATGTATGTGAGGTCATGGGAATCTCAAGAGAGATTCCCGAGTTTGACCTCAAAGTCCTGGAAGGCTTTACAATGTTTAATGTACAGTAACTCGGCCAGTTGGAACTGTGTATTGCTCTATGCGTTGCCTTGAGAAGATTCCATTGTAGTTGTTCTTTTACGGGTAACCATTACAATGATGTTACATCAAACAAATTTTCTTCGTTTCTTTTTAAGGACGAAAAGAGACAAGTTCTTGTATCCCATATTGTACTAACTCTGGTATGATCTGTTCCTTTTACTATTTTGTGAAGTTATAATTTTGTGAAGTATTCTTAAAGGGAAACAAAAATTACGTTTCTCCCATTTGGAAAAGTAATTCAAGATATTTCAAAACCTTTTCCAGATTTTCTTTATCGTTCTTGGTATAAAAGATATTACAATTTTAAGTGGAAAAATTTCCAATTAAATAAAAAAAAATTAAAATAAAAAAAAAATTAAATATTAAATTTTATTTTTATTTTTTTTTTAAATTTTTTTAAAAATTAAAATTTCCAGTAAAATCAGTGTGCATTCCGCCATCTTGGATATGCATATCGGGCCAATCCATCTTCGAATATGCGTGATGTCACAACCAGGGTAACATTATTTTGTATCTTAAGCAATTCTCGGATCATTTTAATGCTAAATTAGATCTTTTACTATTGTCCGTTTTAAATTAAAGCACAAGCTATGTATAAGCATTCCGCTGATGTTATGTTTTAGTTTTAAAACGTCTAACCTTTTTGTGACGTAATTTAATTAGACCTGATTATAAAACAAGATGGCGGAAATGGCAGGATGTTTTGGTTCCAAATATCTCGAAAATTAAGATAGTTTGGGAGAGTTTGTTAAAAGGCTTTGCAAATAATCTTAACATTCTTCCAAATTAAGCAAACATAATTTTTGTTGCAATTTTCCATTAAATCAGTGATTTGGCCCTCGTTTTAAAAATTTCCCCCCTCTTTTTAATCTTTCTTATAGCAATGGATAGATCCGCATTTAACTTGGGATCCATCTGAATATATGGGAACTGAGCATGTTAATGTTGGTACAAATAGTCTCTGGATACCCGATATCGTTCTCTACAATAGGTTGGCTATACTTCAAATTTTAGTGAGTTTGAGCGAGAGAACGAAGTAACACCGCGGAAAAACGTCTGCGCATGCACCAAATTATGAAAATATGGCGGGGAATTTGAATATCAATTTCTAAAACAAAAACATGCTTATTAATTGGTCAAAAATTAGTAAAACAAACGAGAAAATATAGCAAATGGGTAGACTAGACATTAATTGAAAGCGTCCTGGCATTTAAAGTATGGAATGAAATATAATTCATGTAAAAAATTGTTGATTTTAACGGACACGACTTCGAAAATTTTTGCAAAATTATTCAAAACAAAAATTCAAACTAAAAAGTTAAGAAAACTCTCGAAAAGTTAAGCTTCTTAACCCACTCAAATTGTAGAATAAATCCTAAAGTTTAATTATTGTGAACACGAAAATTTTTTATATTTGGCGACACAGTTTTTTTTAAAGAAATGTATCTCAAACGAAAATTCGGAAATTGTCGTTGCTTAGTTGATAAACAAAATGTTTCAGACGATAAATTTGTCAACAATCACCTTTAGTTCATGTTCTTGTACAATACAATTTCTTGAACCTTCTGGCTGTATTTATTCCTAGTTTTTAGAATGACATGTTTATTTTTGCGCTCGAAATCTGGCTGTAAAGACGCACAATGAAGTCACTCCTTTTACCGCCATTTTGAGCCTTCGGAAACGTTCGGAACAGCTTCTCATCAAGTTCGCAATACTATTACAGGTAAGGTTGACGCATGCGCAGACGTTTTTCCGCGGTGTTGAACGAAGTAGGAACACGAAGACGTACTTGACAATTTTTGCCACTCTGCACATTATCTTGCGCATACTGAGTTTGGCGCCTGCCTTCCCGTTATAGGATCATAATCCTTAAACCTGACTCAGAAAAAAAAGTGAGACAAGAAATTCTATCCCGTCTTTGTTCTTCCGCCTTCGTTCAGAACGAAGTTCACGACGAATTTTGCCAAAATATCCGTTCTGAATGAAGGTAGAAGAACGAAGACGTATAGAGCATCATGTCTCGCTGTTTTGTCTGGCCAGGGTAAGGATTACCAACAACAACAACAACAACAACAACAACAACAACAACAACAACAACAACAACAACAACAACAACAACAACAACAACAACAACAACAACAACAACATTCAGAACGAAGTTCACGACGAATTTTGCCAAAATATCCGTTCTGAATGAAGGTAGAAGAACGAAGACGTATAGAGCATCATGTCTCGCTGTTTTGTCTGGCCAGGGTAAGGATTACCACCAACAACAACAACAACAACAACAACAACAACACAGCAGTAGCAGCACAAAGTAGGCCTATTAAACTACAAAGATTCAGTTCTTGTGTTGAAAAATCCCGGCGAAAAAAACAAGTGAAAGAATAAGTGGTTATTAACGAAAACGAAGCAGTTCTACTTAGTGACATTTAGCTATACTGACATATTTAATCCCTATTTAATCAGCATAACCCAAGACCAAGCTGTTGGGATGCGTCGAGGGGATATCTTGGTACATCACAGTGGCTTAGTGACTTTTAAAAATGCAAGAATACTTCATAGTTCTTGCAAAACAAACGTCGCACACTATCCATTTGACAAACAAGAATGCATGTTTACGTTTGGCTCCTGGGCCTTCAATGGTTTTGACATCTCCATTGAGAGCAAAGACCAGGTATTTATAAACTATCCAATAAAAATTACTATTTATTTAAAATATTCATGGTTTCGGATTATACGCAATGCTTGTTTCATATTTTTGTACAATGTTTTGATGTTATGTATTTGTGCTGCAACATCTGCGTCACCAACGTAATTGGCTTATGTTCCTGAGCCGTATTCCTGTTTGTACTTTAGCCATTAATGTTTATTGATTGCATTAACGGCTTAATATTAATAACTGTCTAAAGACCCTTACAGATGAGCAATTTTTCCATGACAAGTTTATTTGCTCGTGCGTATGGCAAAAAATTGTCAATTCTTCCTTGCCAAGGATAGTCAGGCAGATAGATAGAGGGTCAAAATTATGGAAAACGTACCATATCGTGGGACAATTCCATTTTGCCTTCATATTGTGCCCTGAAGGCTAGTAAGTACGTTTCTGTATGTTGGCCGCGAATTTTCTTCGAATTTTGTATTAAACTCTATTACAGTTAAAAAATGTGACATTTCTGATACATTTCTAATACAAATGACTTGCATCAATAGAAAGCTAACAAAAAACTACATGTAAGATATTTAAATGGTTAGTTGGGATTTTCAAGCGGTTTTCGAGTTATTGCCGTTTCAAATGTGAAAAATAAGCCAAAATCTCGCAAAATTCCTGGGTACTAGTCTGAAAACACGCATTCAACAGCTCGTAACTCAAGAAGAACTTGAAAAACCCGGTAATCGTTTAAATGTCTTGTATGTAGTTTTTTTGCAAGCTTTCAAATGATGTAAGTCATTTGTGTTAGGAATGTATTTGAAATTTCACATTTTTTAACTGTAATAGAGTTTAATACAACATTCGAAGAAAAACGTGGCGGCAGGAGCCCACAAGAAATTTTAACGCGGCCAACATACAGAAACGTACTTACTAGCCTTCAGGGCACAATATGAAGGCAAAATAGAATTGTCCCACGATATGGTAAGTTTTTTTCTTCTATCTGCCCGACTAGGAGTCTTGTTCCATTATCTCATACCTGTGTTAAAAGTGGCTTTCTGATTGGTTTAGAGCAGGTGAGCTTGTCGTCGAGCTCACCTGCTTTTTGTCCGAACTCACCCGCGAAACTGCTCACGTTGCAATATAAACAATAGCAATGGCGGACAAGATTTAGTCGATAAACCTAAACTTTAAAGAACTTTTTTCGGTGACTAACCTACTGAGACTGAAGAAAAACCAAAGAAAAAAATGAAATAAAGGTAATTTAGACGTACATAAAGAAGTAAAAATTTGCGCGAATTTGCATTCGCAAACATTCCGCATGCCATTCCGCAAGGACATCCCGCCTTTTCCATTCACCGATAATCTGGTGTGTAATTTTCAGAGCGGGGACTTGTCAAGTTACACGAAGAGCGGAGAATGGGAAATTGTTGAATTTTCAACCGAACAACATAAGATTGTCTACGGCTGTTGTCCAGAGCCATATTACGATGTCACGTATTACTTGAAAGTTCGTCGTCAGGTCCTGTACTACGCTATGTACTTCATCATTCCCTGTGCTCTGATTGCATTGGTGGCTGCAACTATCTTCCTGTTACCTCAGGATTGCAGTGAAAGGATTACAGTCGGTAAGTTATATAGTAGAGAGCTTTATAGATTTTATTACGAGTGGTACAAACGGGAAATGGTTACCACTTCTGTGCGTAATACAAAATGACTGAAAATTACAAACTTCGCAAGGCTATATTATCCGCACTTTACAACATTTTGCAACGAAACTTTGGAATATTACTAATTTTGTGATGCTCTTTCAAGCTGTGATGAAATTTTTGCTTATAGGCAAGTTAAGATCAAAATTTTGGAAAAGTGGTAACCATTTCACGTTTACCACTTCTGTGCGTAATACAAAATGACTGAAAATTACAAACTTCGCAAGGCTATATTATCCGCACTTTACAACATTTTGCAACGAAACTTTGGAATATTACTAATTTTGTGATGCTCTTTCAAGCTGTGATGAAATTTTTGCTTATAGACTAGACTTATTGAGATCAAAATTTTGGTTAATTGGGGAATGGTCCATTGTTGAAGGGATTTGTATAGATGGATTTATTATTATTTCTATTTTAGGAATGTCTTCCTTGGTTGGTCTTTCATTCTTCTTCCTACTCGTATCAGAAAACATGCCTCCTTCAGACAAAGTGCCTCTGATAGGTGGATATTATTCCGTTACCATGATGCAAATGGGGTTTTCATTTTTTATGAATGTTCTTGTATTGCGATTTCATCACATGACAGAAGAGAACGTTCCTGACTGGGTTCGGGTATGTGGTTTATCCACCAATTCTAAAAATAACTTGGATACATGGGGGGAATATTCGTAGGCTGAAAGACGTTGTCCGCAAATTAAAATTGAGTGATATCCAGAATTAGCATATACTCGGGAGGTAGAGATAGTGCTTTTTGTCTATACACGTAAATACGCACAAGTTGTTACAGGTCTGCAAACAAGTTGTTACAAATCTATTCACAAGCCGTCGACAAGTTGTGTAATTCGCACTGTTTGTTCCAAGTTGTTGTAACAAGTTTAGAACAAGCTGTTAAAGGCACAGTTCAGCCTTTTGAACGATGGTTTTTAAGGCGCATTTGAGCCCTTTTAATTGAAAAAACTAACTAGGAAAATCAATTAAGCATAATTCAAAATCAGTAAACTCGATGTTTTTAACAATATAAATGTTTTAAAATGTTAAAAACATTAAGTTTGGTGATCTTGAATTATGCTTAATTGATTTTCCTAGTCAGTTTTTTCAATTAAAAGGGCTGAAATGCGCCTTAAAAACCATCGTTCAACAGGCTGAACTGTGCCTTTAACAACTTGAAACAAGCTTGATGGCATTATCAGACTTGTTACAGGCAAGGTTGTTCTAATAAAGTCTGATACAGTCATGATATAACAAGAATGTTACAAGTTTGACGACACAGGGTTGTAACTTGTTATATCATGACTGTATCGGACTTGTTGGAACAACCTTGCAACAAGTCTGATAATATCAACAACGTTGTTACAAGTTGTTAACAGCTTGTTCCATACTTGTTTGATAAGCAGTGCGAACACAACTTGTTGACGGCTTGTTGCCATTTTTACGATGATAATGCGAGATTTTTACGTGTGTAAATTGAATGGTTGCTCAGCTCTGAATATCTAGCACATTGTTCACGCACCATTATTAAAAAGGTCTATTAGCTTTTCTCACGCCGCCATTTTGGGGGTACTGCCTTTTCCAAATCTGAGATTGTACGCAGTGAATAAGGGATTTGTATAACTATAATTGTAAGTATATAAGTTAATTTATAGTTAAATATGTGAACAAATTTTTTCACATCGCTTAGATTTTTGATGTCATTTTCAAGAAAGTACCCCAAAAATAATTTGGCCTTCGCGAGAAAGGCTAATTGAAATGCGTCAGGCACTCTCACCAATAAGTACGATTTAAATCTGTTTAATAATTACTAAATGTGTGTTTTATCTTTAGAAATTCATTCTTGGATATGGTGCTCGCTTGCTCCATAAGAAGTTTTATTCTAAGGAGAACGCAGAAAGTGATAGAAATGAAAATGCCGATCAAATAAAAGTTAATGGCGGTATGCATTTTGTGTCTAACCATTAAATTACTTTATAAAAGTATTTTTTCATGTTGTAAAACCCAAAAGAGGTAGATATATGTATAACCACACTTCTATATGTATAAACTGTGGTAGGACCCTAAAAACATTCTAGTTAAAAAATTCCTAGTTATTAAACCTAGAAATAACCGTACTGTATTTGGGTTAATTTAATATTACTGGTTTTATAATTTTTTGGTTTAATTTCCTGGTCAGCATTTTCCCTACAGTGGCTTACTTAATAGGACTTTCTGCATGGTTAACTTAACCATGTTAGGTGGATAAATAACCAGGAGTCCTTGGTTATGTATAAACTGTGGTAGGACCCTAAAAACATTCTAGTTAAAAAATTCCTAGTTATTAAACCTAGAAATAACCGTACTGTATTTGGGTTAATTTAATATCACTGGTTTTATAATTTTTTGGTTTAATTTCCTGGTCAGCATTTTCCCTACAGTGGTTTACTTAATAGGACTTTCTGCATGGTTAACTTAACCATGTTAGGTGGATAAATAACCAGGAGTCCTTGGTTATCTACAAGAATGAATAACTCTTAAAGCTGGTTTTACACTATCAAAATTTCTGTGATCATGGTAGAAATTTTACTTAGGTAGTTTGCAGTTTTGAAGGATTTGTGAGAAATGTTTGATGGAACTGATTCTAAATTCTTCAAAACTTTACGTACCTATGCAAATTACCTATGTAAACCATCCTTATACAGAACACCAATGTTAAAGGCACAGTGGTGCAGCCTTATGAATGATGGTTTTTAAGGCACATTTCAGCCCTTTTAATTGAAAAACTAACCAAGCAGGAAAATCAGTTAAGCATAATTCAAGATCAGCAAACTTACGCCCGTATTCTAAAAGCTCACTCGATTAGCCATTCCGAAGTTCATGAGTGGACTGGGGACGAGTGTTAAAAAGTGCCCAAATTAAGAAATGAACCAAATCACTAAAAAGACCACCTCAAAATTAGTAAGTATACAAAGTTTGAAGACGTTTACATGAATACCCTTCGAATAATAAGCTTTCGAAAATTGGGGAATTACTGCATGATTAAAAGATTGTTTTTGGGACGCGCGTCCCAAAAACAAGAAATTACAATACAATACATTTCATAGTAAATATCACGCTTTTGAAAGCTTATTATTCGAAGGATATTCATGTAAACGTCTTCAAACTTTGTATACTTACTAATTCTGAGGTAGTCTTTTTAGTGATTTGGTTCATTTCTTAATTTGGGCACTTTTTAACACTCGTCCCCAGAGCCCAGTCCACTCATCAACTTCGGAATGGCTAATGAGTGGAGTACTCAAGAGAAGCTGAGATTGAGCTTCCACTCATTGAGTGTGAGTGAGCTTTTAGAATATGGGCATTAATGTTTTTAACATTTTAAAACCTTTTTATTGTTAAAAACATTGAGTTTACTGATCTTGAATTATGCATAATTGATTTTCCTAGTTAGTTTTTTCAATTATCCTTTCTCACGAACGCCAAAATCCGCCATTTTTGGGGTACTGTCTGCCCTCGTAAAAGATTCTAGACAATTTAAACAACGTAAAAAGCGACTTTTAAAAGTTGTAACTGTAAATTTATCATTATACAAACAACCACAATGCTAAAAAGTTGCATTTCGTGGTGCAGACTCTCAAACGTTGGAGGGCAGTACCCCCAAAACGTAACTAGGCATGTACGAGTTATCTAAATCTGTGAATTGTGTGGCAACGATGAAATTACCTTCATTTAAAATTTTAAAAACTTGATACATGCGCATTATATCGTTCCAGATGCTGAAGACAGTTTCGTGATGAAGGTGATTGGTGAGAAAGAATATTGCGACGAAATAGTTGAGGAAGACATGAAAATAGCTCGAGCCATTGAAGAACACACGGAAGGCAAAAAGCGAGACGTGGAGTGGAAACAAGCAGCGGCTGTTTTGAATGACTTGGCCTTAATACTTCATGTTGTCGTCGTACTTTTGACTTTCGCCGCCATGTTTTTTGAAGTTTTGTTTATCGCTAAATCATGAAACACTTATTTCTTAATTTAATTTAGGGCCTGTTCATATGATCCACTTACCGGTACTGTCTCGCTTACCGATGATCTCGCCGCCTAGTCATTTTCCTACAAAATTTTGCATTGTGTTCATATGAGAAAGCAAGCTGCCCCGCTGGCTCCATCTCCGCCTAATGCTCTGCCGACACGATACCGGAAAAAAGACCTCGTATATTTATTCTCAACTGGATTTTCTAATCACTTTGACTAAAAATCATCCACTGATGTTTTGGGGCAACCTGTATATAATTCTATGTAATTATACAACAGTAGATACACTACCGGAACAGCTGTCGGAAACGTGTTTACAATATAATAACCTGTATATCTAATTATTACAGAATATATTGGATATATTATATAAAAAAGCCCGCCGAGTTTTTTTTTCACTGTGACTGTAAAACGGCCCATGGAATTTAAAGACAATTTATCGTCTCACGCGCATGATATAAAGTCGCAATAAATTCCATACTTGTTATGTTTTCGACTGTTTTATAACCAGTCAAGTGCGGTCAGCCGTTTTCAGGCTTTAATTAAATATGCATGTATATTATTCGTCTCTCAATGCTAAAACAAACAAAAACAGAAGTCGTCAAATATACATACGTTTTGTAGATTAGAGAAAAACAACGTATAAACTGCGATTTGTTTGCTTACGTAGCCTACTTATATACAATTCGCTTTTTTCGAGTGACGTTTTTGAAAGTATCGTTGAAAATGTTCCTGGTTTTGCCCGGTTGTCTGTTGCTAGGTAAGTTGTAATATTATATACCCTGCGTTTAAAACACTGTAACAAACGTAGACAATTACCGTTTGAACGAGTTGCATGGAACATTGTTGGACTCGTTTGAACACTATCTATCTATCGTAAAATCTATAATTTCGATCAGAGCAAACTAAAACTGGTTGGCTCGGGCTTGACTTTGCTCAAAATTTTCATCCCAACATTATCTAACGTTGGCCTCGTTTGCATGAACATTATCTCTCCATCGTATAAAATTTGTTTGACTTTGTTCAAAATTTTCATCCCAAAATTCATCCAATGTTAGACTCCTTCGAGGCTGAATTATAGAAAAGACGACGTTTAGATCTCCACATGAATGAATGCTCTATATATATATACTGGCTGTATGAGCTACATTATCCTTAACATGCCCCTCCCCTTTACTATTTTTTTCCCATATACAATATTCCCTAACAAAATAATTATTGAAATATGGTGTCTTCCTTTATCGGTATATCAGTATATAATTATATGTTTAATTGTTAGTCTTATGTATTGATAACCGGTTTTAGTAAAGTGTATTGTTTAATTTTGTGTGTTTGAGTGTGTAGCCTAATAGCAGTCTATATCCTAATAGCAGTTTATATGCTAACAGTTTTGGTTATGTTTTGTCATATTATCGCAATTTTAAGTGTTAAGATATTCCGACTGTTATAAATTCGATGTCGTGATATAAGCGAATCCGCGGTTCGTGTTTCTCGGGCCTCGGTCAACACTTTCCTAAAGCAAGCAATTTTGAGCCGCTATATGAAACGTATATAAATAGCTTGCACTTATTTGTCAGAAAACATTATAAAAACTAAAGCAGAGCGAGCGAACAGAACATGGGGGATGTGAAATCCATACTATGAAATTTGCAATTGCACCACTAAATGCATAGTATATCCAAACTATTTCGATACTATATCCATATAGTATGCATGGAAATATATAATAATTATGGGTAATCAAAATCCATTCTATTTCCAGTAAAGCCTAAAGGTCCATACAATTTCCATTCTATGACCTTCTGTGGATTTTCAAAATTTTTTCCAGTGGAAGCAAATGATGAACAGAAGGAGAATTTTGTCTCAGGTTTATATATACATGCTATAGCGACGACAACTTTTGAAGCTGGTTCAATGAGGGCGTATTCATAAACTATATGCATATAAATTATGGCGGTACAAAATAAAGGGATTACAAGGAGAAGACAAAAACAGGACATTATTAATTCATTCAAAGATGATTGGCAAATTGGCGGCCGTTTTCAACTCTTTCGTTGTTTTAGAATCATTAATTTTAACAGAACTTATTAACTATACAATATAATTTTTGCCTCATGGAAAAGACTATTGACAGAGTTAATAGGCAATTCCAGCTTTTAGTTTATGCGTGCAGGGGACAATGGGAAGTAAGGTATCACATTGCTGATTACGCTGAAAAAAATAGAAATGGTGGCCGTGTAAACACGGAGTGATAGCTTATACTTGTAAATATTGAAATATTTCGGTTGTTTCGGAAGTTTTTATTGAAATTTTTCAGCATAATCAGCACAATGATACCTTACTTCCCATCATCCCCTGCAGGCATAAACTAAAAGCTGGAATTGCCTATTCGGTGTAGGTGAAGCAGATGGAAACTTAAATAGACCTAATGCAATATGACGTCACAAGGCTTGATGCCCGCGAGGAATGCTGGTCTTAGTAGTCATCGCCCGAAAAAATTTCGATAGTGGCCATTTTGAATTGTTTAATTTTCCCGGGCAATGACTACTAAGACCGGCATTCCTCGCGGGCATCAAGCCTTGGGACGACATTATGAATAAGGTCTATTGCATCTTATATACAATTTACAGACCCAACAGTTGCACGATTGTTTGTAGATGGAAATTTTGAAAGGAAGATTATACACAATTTTAGACCAAAACAGGAACAGCTGTGAAAAATGGAACTATATAGCTCTAACCGCAAGTTCATGTATGTATGTACCATGGTGATGCCAATGTAAGATGTGTGTGTAAATATTGGGGTTTTGGCATCCACTCGATATAACTAATTGTAGATGTAACTAACAAATGTAAGATATAACTAACAAATGTATAAAAATTCACAATCGAGTTTTCTATCTACAAAACCATTGTGCAATAGACAATTCTCATTATAGACTAATTTTAAAACTAGGCAATTAGGAGATGCAAATAAATCACAGCTAGAAAGAGCATGCTAAAATGAGTAAATTCGCAAAGTTTGGTTGCGAAATGTTGTGAAATGGGGAAAATATAGCCTTGCAAAGTTCGCAAATTTAGGACATGTAGCTCTAACCGAGCTGCATGTAAAATGCACATGCAGTTAACACTGACCGTTAACACTCCTTATAACTGTTCTTTTCTGTGTTTTTTTTTTGTAGTTTTCAGTGGCGTCCAAAGCAAGACGTCCATCGATTTAATGCAACATCTTTTCAATGCCAGTCGCTATGATAGACGAGTCATTCCGTCAGTTGGACTAGGAACTAATGTACCTTTGAACGTTTCATTAAATTTGGCATTAATGCAAATTGAAAATTTAGTAAGTTTCCTTACACGATGAAATGGCGAAAAATAATGTTCATAAATATTCCACGACCATACACTACCCAAAGAAATTATATTTGGGCGAGTGATACTCGAAATAATATACTTGGAATATAACGATGTTAATCAAACAAATTCTCTTGATTTCTTTTTAAGGACGAAAAGAGACAAGTTCTCATCTCCCATATTGTGCAAACTTTGGTATGATCTATTTCCCGTTTACGGTTATAATTTTGTGAAGTATTTTTAATGGGAAATAGCAATGCAAGTTTCTCCCGTTTGGAAGAGAAATTCAAAACCTTTTTACAGATCGTTACTTCTTGGTATACAAGATATTATACACTTCATTTCAAATATAATCAGTATGCATTCCGCCATTTTGGATATGCATATCGGCCCAATCCATCTTCGGATATGCGTGATGTCACAGCCAAAGTAACAATATGTTGTATCTTGAGCAATTGTCGGGCCATTTTACAGTGCCTATATGCAAGAATGTTTTATGATTGAATTGCAAAGTTCATTTAAAATCATGTACCTTTTTTTTCTAAAACTTTGTTATCTTTCCTGTATGTCAAGATATTGGACTTTGTTTGGTATGCAAATATGACTTAAATGATGTCACATTGCATTACGAGTTTTTAGAAAGAAAACGTTTCCTTGCCAAACATGTGATAATTCCACTGACATTGAAAGTTATATACTTTAAGAGCTATCAAAGCTATTCAAATTGGGCAAACATAATTTTTGTTGCAATTTTCAATTAAATCAGTGATTTGACCCTCGTTTTAAAATGTTCTCCCCTCTTTTTAATCTTTTTTTGTAGCAATGGACAGATCCGCATTTAACGTGGGATCCTTCTGAATATTTGGGAACTGAGCATGTTAAAGTTAGTGCAAGTAAGCTTTGGACACCGGATATCGTTCTCTACAACAGGTTGGCTATACTTCAAATTTTAGAGCGTTTGAGCATAAGCAGTGGTGCCTAAATTACTTTGAATTTGTACTCGAGTAAAATAAAATAAAACAAACTTGAGTAAGAGTATAAAGTACTGAAGTCAAAACGTACTTAAAGGTGATCTACAGTCCGTATGTAAACAAAGCCTTTGTTTACATTTTTGCGTCCAAAATATTGAGCTTTATTCGACAACTATTTATATTTTCAAGCTTCTAGAGTATAATAAATGATCAAGAAACAACAATCAGGCTTTTCAAGAACTCAAAACATAGTTAAACTGTTTGTATCATAAAAAGTGGGCTCATTTGTGCACATGCGCAGATCGGACTGTAGATCACCTTTAAGTAAAAAGTTTCCTTAAAAAATACTTGAAGTAAAAAGTAAAGTACTATTATCTGTAGCGTGTGGGGGGGGGGGGGATTTCTCCAATGTATTGACATACAAAAGACACAAAACAGCACACGCATTATATGCGTGCACCTAATATAGAATATTTCACGGCATGGTCTACTTTCCAGACACCGTTGAGTATATATAAGAAATCTATTAAATATATAATGCATGCTTATAAGTAAGCCATAAACGAGCTAGAACTCCAATTACCTATCCCAAAATTAAATAAATCAGGAATAAATCACGTAAAATTAAACAAAAGTTAGAAAGTAACGAAACACTCAAAACATGTAAATAACGAAGTAAAATGTTACTTCTTAAAACGACTTCGTTCCAAGACCAAGTAAAATAATCCAGTAGTTCAAAAAATAGTACCCCGAGTACAATAACGAAGTACATTTACTTCGTTACTTGACACCACTAAGCAAGATAACGAAGTACGAAGACATGCTTGACAATTTTTGCTCGTCTGCACATCATCTTGCGCATACTGAGTCTGGGGTCACTGGTGGTTACTCAGTTACCTAATCCTTACCATGACCCAGAAATTTAAAAACGGACCCCAAAACAGCGAGCCATGAAACTATATTCCGTCTTCGTTCTACTGCCTTCGTTCAAAACGAACGATATTGACATTGAATCCTGCCAAAATGTTGTTCTCCGTAAAATCTGACATATTTAATCCTTCTTTTGTCAGCATAACCCAAGACCAAGCTGTCGGAATGCGTCGAGGGGATGTCTTGTTACATCACAATGGCTTTGTGACTTTGAAATATTCAAAAATAATTCAAAGTTCTTGCAAAACAAACGTCGCACACTATCCATTTGATAAACAAGAATGTATATTTAAGTTTGGCTCCTGGGCATTCAATGGTTTTGACATCGCCGTTGATAGCAGAAACGAGGTATTTATAAACTATCCAATAAAACTTATTATTAAACAACAAAAAAAATGCCGGAATAATCCCAACCATTCCGCAACGTCATTCCGCAACGTCATTCCGCAACGTCATTCCGCAACGCCATCCCACCTTTTACATTCACTGATTATCTGGTGTGTGATTTTCAGGGCGGGGATTTGTCAAGTTACACGAAGAGCGGAGAATGGGAAATTGTTGAATTTTCAACCGAACAACATAAGATTGTCTACGGCTGTTGTCCAGAGCCATATTACGATGTCACGTATTACTTGAAATTACGTCGTCAGGTCCTTTACTACGCCATGTACTTCATCATTCCCTGCGCCCTGATTGCATTGTTGGCTGCAACTATCTTCCTGTTACCTCAGGATTGCAGTGAAAGGATTACAGTCGGTAAGATATTACCAGTACGACTATACGAGATAAGTTTAATTCACCACTACGACTATACGAGATAAGTTTAATTCACCATAAGCAAAATAATGGCGGATGTCGATTCTACCATAATGCCTTGCGAACCTAATTGGTTATAAAAACTGTTAAAATAGTTCGACTTGCTATAACATTAATTTAGGTATTTTGATACTATTTAATTCTTAAAGTGTCTATGACACGAAATTTCACCCCAAATGTTTATGATTGCATTGTAAAGATCACTTAAAATGACTTAATCATTTCTTTTATAGAATTTTGGTAACTTGCTCCCTTTTCAAGATATTCAACTTTGTTTCATATGCAAATATCACCGGTGTGACATCACATCGCATAATGACATTTTGAAAACGCAATATTTTACCTTGATAAAATATGTTTACAAACAAATACAGAGGGTTAATGATCAGATATGAAATTAATACATATACAAGGGCAATTTTAAAGTTTTTTAGATACGTATTCGTCAAGAAAACTATACTTTTCTGAAAAATCATTATGTGATGTCATGTCACATTGGTGATATTTGCATATGAAACAATTGAAAGTTGAATATCTTGAAAAGAGAGCAAGTTACCAAAATTCTATAAAAGAAATTATTAAGTCATTTTAAGTGATCTTTACAATGCAACCATAAACCTTTGGGGTGAAATTTCGTGTCATAGGCACTTTAAGGTATAATGTTTTCTGCTCGCAAAGAATCATAGTAAAATCGACATCCGCCATCTTTTTTATTACGGTGAATTCATGGATACACCATATTCATCATCTTTTTACGCCATCATGTACTGACGCCCAGTGAGCTCCATACATATATGTATATATATATACATATATATATACATATATATATACATATATATATACATATATATATACATATATATATACATATATATATACATATATATATACATATATATATATATATATATATATATATATATATATATATATATATATATATATATATATATATATATATATATATATATATATATATATATATATATATATATATATATATATATATATATATATATATATATATGTTAGTTATGTAATTGTACACTCTAATATTTCATAATTTCCAGTCTTAAATCCGTCTGACCGTGTAGCTTAGTAGGTAGAGCGTCGATCTAGTAATTCGAAGGTCGCGGATTCGAGACCCAGCCGCGGCAGACAACATCTTTCTGCTTGCGCTGGGTATGGAAATTATATAATACACACTCTAGAACATTTTCATCTTAACATATTACAGAGTGTACAATTACATATATATATATATATATATATATATATATATATATATATATATATATATATATATATATATATATATATATATATATATATATATATATATATATATATATATATATATATATATATATATATAGCCAGCTTCAAAAACAACAGAAAATGACTGGAACTGACGTCCTGTAACTCTTCAATTTCCATCATCTTCGCAAGGAGTATGCCAAAATTTCGTATTTTGACTTGATTTAAATACTAATATTATGATTTTATGAACTGAAAACTTGGTTAGCGATACGACCCGTAATGATCATTATTTCTATTTTAGGAATGTGTTCCTTGGTTGGTCTTTCATTCTTCTTCCTACTTGTATCAGAAAACATGCCTCCCTCAGACAACGTGCCTCTCATTGGAGGATATTATTCCGTTACCATGGTGCAAATGGGGTTTTCATTTTTTATGAATGTTCTTGTATTGCGGTTTCATCACATGACAGATGAGAAAGTTCCTGCCTGGGTTCGGGTATGTGGTTTATCCACCAATTCTAAAAATAACTTGGATACATAGGGGGAATATTCGTAGGTTGAGAAGACGTTGTCCGCAAATTAAAATTGAGAGATATCCAGAATTAGCATATACTCAGGAGGTGGATAGTGCTTTTTGTCTACACACGTAAAAACGCACAAGTTGTTACAGGTCTGCAAACAAGTTGTAACAAATCTGTTCACAAGCTGTCGACAAGTTGTCGACACGTTGTGTTCGCACTGCTTCTTCCAAGTTGTTGTAACAAGTTTGGAACAAGCTGTTAACAACTTGAAACAACCTTGATGGCATTATCAGACTTGTTACATGCAAGATTGTTCCAATAAGTCTGCTACAGTCATGATATAACAAAAATGTTACAAGTTTGACGACACAAGGTTGTAACAATATTGTTATATCATGACTGTATCGGACTTGTTGGAACGTTGCAACAAGTCCAATAATGTCAACAAGGTTGTTACAAATTAATAGCTTGTTCCAAATTTGTTGACAACTTGGGACAAGCAGTGCGAACACAACTTGTTGACGACTTGTTGGCAAGCCTGCTACAATTAAGTTGTGAGTATAATTGATTGGTTGCTCATCTCTAGATATTCAAAAGGTCTATTCAAATGCGTCAGCTATATAGTCACTGTCACCAATTAGTACAATTTAAATCTGTTTAATAATTACTAAATGTGTATATAATCTTCAGAAATTCATTCTTGGATATGGTGCTCGCTTGCTCCGTAAGAAGTTCTATTCTAAGGAGAACGCAGAATGTGATAGAAATGAAAATGCCGATCAAATAAAAGTTAATGGCGGTATGCATTTTGTGTTTAATCATTAAATTACTTTATAAAAGTAGTTTCTCATGTCGTGAAACCCAAAAGAGGTAGATATTTGTATAACCACAGTTCTATAAACTGAAGCATAGGATAGAAAAAAGGTAACTATAAGCTTTATAATTATCTACAAGAATGAATTACTCTTAAAGCTTGAAAAGCCGGTTTACACTATCAAAATTTCTTCGATCATGGTAGAAATGTTGCTTAGGTACACAAACTACCCTTTGTAGTTTTGAAGGATTTGTGAGAAATGTTTGATGAACCTGACTGAAACTGATTCAGTTCTTAACACTAAGTCAATTCCATCAAACATTTTTTATAAATTCTTCAAAACTTTACCTATGCAAAATTCCTACAGAAATCACAGAAACTTGATAGTGTAAACCCAGCCTTTATACATAACTCCAATCAGCTGGGCGTAGGAAGCAGGGGGGGGGGGGGCGATCTCCTCAATATCAATTTAGACTCGCTATACGGCTACGAAATCTGGTACGACTACGAGATTTTCCCCGTTAAATTTCTGCTACTACAGACTTTTTACCGTCCTTTCTTTTGCATACCACATCCTTATAGCAACAGTTGCGCCAAACCATGTACTATTATAAGTTTTTGTAGCTGATATTTAATGGAAAAAATCTCGTAGTCATACTAGATTTCGTAGCTGTAGCGAATATAAACTTCTCTAATAGGGAACTTTTATAAGGGGAACAGGATAGCTTTCGGCCCACCCAAAAATTATTGGATTTAAACAACTGCTGCGAAATTCTCGAAACTGGAAGTATTTGAAACCGTATATATCATATTAATAACGTATCTGCAATTGTTTATTGTTATTTTAATTAATAAGAAAATTTTGCTTATCTTTTGTCATTGGATGTTTTTTTGGTCTATGCTGCTTGTTAGGCAGCGGTATTTACTTGCTCAAATAGTTATCATCTAACGCAGTCGCAAACCATAAAGTAAACATATTTATAGCTTACAAATCATAATGACAGAATTTGAAAGAGCTTAACGAAAGTGCCAAAGAAGACCCTGAAAATGCCATTTCCGACGATCTGGAGACCAAATTTTCAAGAGTCGCCCCCCCTCCATCTTTTACAAGCTTCCTACGCCCCTGAATCCAATGTTAAGTTGTACCTTTGTTCTATTATATACCTCTGTAAACTAAACGTAACTATAGGCATGTACATGAGTTATCTACAGCTGTGAATTGAGACAATTGAGTGGCAACGATGAAATTACTTTCATTTAAAATTTTAAGAACTTGATACATGTGCATATTATATCGTTCCAGATGCTCAAGACAGCTTCCTGATGAAAGTGATTGGTAAGAAAGAGTATTGCAACGAAATAGTTGAGGAAGACATGAAAATAGCTGGAGCCATTGAAGAAGACGCTGAAGGCAAAAAGCGAGACGTGGAGTGGAAACAAGCAGCGGCTGTTTTGAATGACTTGGCCTTAATACTTCATGTTGTCGTCGTACTTTTGACTTTTGCCGCCATGTTTTTTGAAGTTTTGTTTATCGCTAAATCATGAAACACTTATTTCTTATTAACGCAATTTATACAGAACACGAAATACTTCTGCAATTAATTAACGATAATTGTGCACTTAATTACTAATTGTTCATTAAATGACTGGAGTTAGAGCCGAAGTGGCGGGAATTGACGTTCACTGCCAATCCATTTCCACACTCATGGTTACATTCAGCAAATTTTCTCCCAGTACCACAGGCTCACATTTTCAGAGGACTTGCGGTAAAAAAGTGAAACTTTTCCATTTTGCTCAGAACTGGTCACTTTCCGCTGACAATACAAGCCCGCACGAGTGAGAGAAATTTTGAAAGGCCATGTTACACGGTGCAATCTTTCTTGCAACTTGCAATGCAATTCTACTCTTGCGAGATGCAAAATTGCCAAATACGAGTCTTCATTACACTCCGCTGCAACCTCGTTCCCAGGCTCTTCCTTCTTGAGCCTGGAAACGACGTTGACTCCGCTGATGTTTTCTCAACATATCGAAAATTCTTCACTGATTTCAATAATTAACATCTCTCAAGAGTAGAATTGCATTGCAAGTTGCAAGAAAAATTACTGTAAAAATCCAGGTTTTCCAGGACTTTTTCATCCTTTTCCCAGGGGTTTTCCAGGGCCATTTGAAACATACAAAACAATTTCCCTAAGAAGTTGACAGGTTTTGGAGTGTTTAATGATTTTAAATGCTACAAGACATGCTGCGACTATATATAATGGAAGAAACGTTTGTTCAATCTTTCTTTTTAAGATAGTGTTAAATAGTTTAGGTATGATCCTATACCCAGCTCAGTTTCTCCGTTTTTCAGGGATAAATTTGAAACTCGAAGCTTTTAAAGGGCTTTTCAGGACTAAAATAAAAATCTAGGTTTTCCAGGATTTCCAGGGGGCGTACGAACCCTGTTATAAACTGATAACTAGATTAGCAATACGGTCCGGTAGAAAAAAATGAATTTCGCTGGGAGAAATGGTATAAAAGCCGTTTACGACTTTCACTGCAGCTATTGAACGTCAATGGACGCCATCTTGGATTCACTTTTCTCATAGGCCGAAAAACTGAAATTCTTGCTCCAGATATATACATATATAGAGCTCACCGGTTCAACGTCATTTTCGCAATAGGCCTAAGGAAAGTCACGCAACCACCCATATCTGAGTAGTGAAATATTATTAATCTTTAACATTATTCTTGTCATACAAGAAAACAAATGTGTAATTTTACGAAAGTTTAATATAAGAACACCACGTGTAAAGTTGTATACTGTATTGTATCCAGATGATCTTGATACGCGGAAAAGTACTGGCACTAGTTGTCAAATAGAAATCCATTTTATGATTAAAACAACTGAATATCTCCTGTAATATACTTTATTTCGATTCCATATTTTTGTCAGAGCTATAGTTCTCATAAGCAAACATAATTAAAAAATTTCAACTAGTTTCATAAAGAATAACGAAAGATATAATTGACTGAATACATCAAAATGGATTTCTATCCGGACAACCCTTTCTGAGCGCTGGTTGGCTAAAATACGGACACGAGATCACCTGGATTGTATATATTGTAGTGTATATATACAGAGTTCGATAATCTTTTTTAAACTTACACAATTACCCACAATAATCATATATTTTTCTAAGTTGCATGCTCGACGATTATTTGGAGCCGCAATTGACCATTTGCGTAATAGACTAAATTTTGATCTCAACAAAAATTTCATTACAGCTTGAAAGAGCATCACAAAATTAGTAATATTCCAAAGTTTCGTTGCAAAATGTTGTAAAATGCGGAAAATATAGCCTGGCGAAATTTGCAATTTTCAGTCATTTTAGATTACAAACCGGAAATTGACAGCCTCGAAGGGTTTGGGGCTGTCAATTTCCCGTTTGTAATCTAAAATGACTGAAAATTGCAAATTTCGCAAGGCTATATTTTCCGTATTTTACAACATTTTGCAACGAAACTTTGGAATATTACTAATTTTGTGATGCTCCTTCAAGCTGTGAGGAAATTTTTGTCTGGACTTGTTTAGTTCAAAATTTAGTCTATTACGCAAATGGTCAATTTACAGTTCATTGACAACTAAACACTTCTTATGATGTTTGTGATGTTACTCTGAGTGTGCATCCACACTGGGCAAGCTGGAAATTAAAGTTAGCTTGGCCACGGTGGGAATCGAACCCGCGACCTTTGGGTTACAAACCAATACTCTGCCAACTGAGCTACGTGGTCAAGTCGGTTCGAGTTGATGATATTTCGGAACTGAGTCTAGTTCCTTCGATGTCAGTATATATTCTATGATATGTTTATTTCATGTGTGTTGGTGTTATGTACTCAGGTGAATATGATGTTTGTGATGTTACTCTGAGTGTGCATCCACACCGGGCAAGCTGAAAAGTTTGCCTGACCACGGTGGGAATCGGACCCGCGCATGCCTGTAGAAAGTAGGAAGTTATGGAGCGACGCTACCTCCAAGCTCTAAAGGGCTAACTCCAAACCAAAATATACACTTGAGTAACTTGTGTAAATGTGTAATTCAAGAGTTGAAATATGAATTCTGGAGTTACTGGCTAACTCCAAAAATGATTTGGAGCTATATAAGTATACAACTGCAAAAATCATTTAGGAGCTAGGCATCTAAGGCTGGAGTTACTGGCTTACTCCAATAATCATTTAGAGCTACGTATAACTCAAAAAAATCATGAAAAAAACAAGGTATTTAAGCCTCGAGTTACTGCCTAACTCCAAAAAGTATGTGTATAGCGAGGCGAGTCAGCATATAGCCGCTAGGTACATACATGTAAGGTTGAAGTTACTTGCTGTGTTGCTAACTCCAAAAATCATTTGGAGCTTGTTATCTTAGCCAGGAGTAACTGACTAACTGGAATAACTGCAAGAACTCTCAGAATGCACTTCTATATTCCGCTGTATTAAATAAGACTGAAATATCCAGAATATGCGCATAAACAGGACATTGACACACTTGGCATTTTGTTCTCGTTCAGAGGCTAAATTTTGATCTGCAGTTGACTGTTGAGGCAAACCCATTCTCGTACACCGCGTCCTTGTCATGCTCTGTTGATGATCGTGTGTATAAGGCGGGCTCTGGGTACGTGAATGTGGCATAGTCTAGCTCCATTTAAAGATTGGCTACCTCCACAAAAATAAAATCTACAGGTATGGACCCGCGACTTTTGGGATACTAGTCCAATGGCAATGCTCTGCCAACAGAGCTACGAGGTCCAGTCGGTTCGAGTTGATGATATTTCGGAACTGAATCTAGTTCCTTCGATATCAGTATATTCTATGATATGATTATTTTGTGTGTGTTGGTGTTATAAACACTTCTTGTTTTAAAAACATGAAACGCGCGTCCTCCCGCTCTAACTAATTCGTCCCACTTATACACGGAACCTACATATATATTTAAATTTATATTTACGAATACACCGTTCATTCGTTCGCTAATATAAGAGCCATTTGGCCACCTGTATATGTTAGGACATAAATATTTCAGAATGCTTGCAGGTGTTTTTGTGGCTGCGAGATGATCGGTAGCCATTAGCAACGGTGTAAACTGTCTCACAAACATGTCGCAATTTTAAAACCGTATCAACGTGAACTTGCCGAATTTGAAGAAAACATGATGTTTTTAATGATTTTCTGTTTCTCGTTACCAGGTAAGGTCGCTGTAGAATTTACAATGATGCATATGAAAATTTTTTAATACGAGTATACATGGAACAGGGCTTTTAGTAGTGAATTTAAGAGCCAATAGTTTAAATTAGACCTAGAGATACTGCGTGCAGTATAGTAACCACAAAGAAAGCGATATATCCTAATATTTTTAAATGTGCTTACAAATATATTCTTTTTCACTTCGTAAGACGTAATATACTGATGAGTTTTTTGCCAAAGAAATCTGAGATAATCGTATCTGAACACATGCGACGATACTGCATGTATATATGCGATACGATTCGTAACTGATTTGAGATATCGTGCAGTTTAGCGATATTTCTTCTTCATTTTCTGTTTATTTTTACAAAAAAGCTTTGATGCGTGATTTAACATTTCTTTAATAATGTCTAGGAGAACAACAGAATACTTCATAGATGCTTGGAAACATTCAAAATGGTTCCTCTATATATTTCTCGTTCGCTTTGCTCGCTCATGAGATATTGTTAATTCAAAACTCGAAATAATTCGGCAATGTCAAATTTCCGTGTTCGATAATTTATTATTTGGCGCATTACATAAAATTATCAAAATATATGAGCAAATTTACTCATTTTGTTTGAGTAAATTTTCAAATTTACCCAATTTTTGGAGAGGCATTATTTTTCTAAACTTTTTCGGAGGCGAAATTTTTTTGCAGTGCATAAATATACTACTATATATATAACAGTAAAATTAAAAATGCTATACTACTATCGAATGTTCAAAAAGAAAAATTGCACTTACATTCTGAGAATGTTTAGGCGACAGCAAGCTCTTGACATTCCGTACCGTCGGGCTTGAAATATATATAGTACATGATAATATTATCTTGCTTCTCATATTCTTGATCATTAACCTAAACAGACAGAGATTTAACGTTATTGAATTAGCTTGCAGCCGTAAACGTTTTCAAGTAATATTTTAGCTTACATCCGGAAGGCCATGCATGACCGACCACGTATTTTAATTCTATCATTCATAGAAAACTTCTTTTTAAAAAAACATGTATATGTACAAGGCTATTTTTTACATAGTTTTTCAAATCTGACTAGGAGGATTGAACTGGATTTCAAGTCAACGTAATTTGATCAACCGGACAAAATGCGAGGACTTGAAATCTAGTCTAGTCCGAATGGACCATTTGCATGATAGGCTAAATTTTGATCTAGACAAAAATTCATCACAGCTTGAAAGAGCATCGCAAAATTAGTAATAATTTATTCCAAAGTTTCGTTGCGAAATGTTGTAAAATGCGGATAATATAGCCTTGCGAAATTTGCAATTTTCAGTCATTTTGTATTACAAACGGGAAATTGATGCCCCAACACCAGATTGGGCTGTCAATTTCCCGTGCGTAATACAAAATGACTGAAAAACGGCAAACTTCGCATGGCTATATTATCCGCATTTTACAACATTTCGCAACGAAACTTTGGAATATTACTAATTTTGTGATGCTCTTTCAAGCTGTGATGGTCCGCAAATTTTGGTCTAGATCAAAATTTAGTCTATCATGCAAATGGTCTATTGGAGGATTTGAAATCGGACATCTCGTACGAATAAATCACTACTTAAAGTAAGGCGAATTAATTTTGATCCAGTCCAAGGACTGAGCAAAATAAAGCAATATGGTTGGCTAATTTTTATGAATTAATAATGAGTTGAGATACACATGTATATTGCATGGTCTTAGTTTTTAGTCCAACACTTTTAGAGAGAGCCGCCAATCGTTGAGAAATAATATAAATATGGATGAGATAGATTTGTGTTTTGAAGACGGTATAAGACTTCAATAATATCAATGTGATGTTTTCGTATAGCTATGTTGTTGGCAAATCAGAAAGAGGCAGAACTAATGAACATGCTTTTGAAAGTTCAAAACTACAATACGCGAGTTCGTCCAGTTTTACAGGAAAATAAACCAATAGTTATCCGACATGGAGTGATTCTCAAGGATATTTCTGACATAGTAAGTATAATATCATGAAAGTGAGCAAATAAATGAAAACCTGTTGACTGAAAGATGGTATTACTCTGTGATGGCCATGTATATGACACCAGTATGGAAAAAAACTTGTCAAGCTTTTTTTCTATCACACACCCAAAAATCTCACTGCTTGTTGTACCAGTTGTTGATAGGTTTGGAACAAGTTGTTACCATCTCGTAACAAGGTTGATGAGGCCAACAGATTCGCAACATTTTGTTTTAACAAGTCTGATATCGTGTGCACGAAACAATTTGTTAACAAGTTGAGGACAACAAGCTCGTAGAAAATTGTTACGAACAAGCCTGTATTAGTCTTTTTCGGACAACTTGTAGTAGCAAGTCTGTTACCGTCATCAACCTTAATGTAACAAGGTGCATGAGCCATGATCAATTAGAGGACAAACTTTGTCCTGTGCAGCCAATCACAACACAGCACTGACTTAAGGTAGCCAATAGCATTCCCTTATTTGTATAGATCATGTACGCGTGATATTTGCAAAATTTCGATTTTTTGAAATCTCCAAATGTTTGGGTGGATAAAAAGTAAGCTATTTACCTGCTTAATTCGGGGGTTTTCTTTTTATTATATAAAACAAATAGATAATATTTTGCCGTTGTCTGTTCAGTTCTAGTATGACGTCATAATGTGGAAAGACCAAAAAACTGACCCACTCGCCTCGGCGGCTTGTGATCAACTTTATGACGTCATACTGTGTATCCAATATAACTGAACAGACAACGGCAAAATCTTATCTATTGGTTAACTAGAATATGATATAAAATGTTCATTCACACGCTTTTATTTACAGTTGATCTTTCTATCTTTATTTAGAATGAAAAACAACAAAAGATGATAGTCAACGTTCTTCAAAAAATTGTAAGTTAATTTTAAGCAAACTGAAGTGAGTTAATCACTGGAAATATTTTTCAAAATCGTTGGAAATAGCAGGGAAATCAAACATACTATTTCATACTAATTGTAATTTCTGCACTATGGATATAGTATGGAAATAGTATGGATATAGTATGGATATACTATGGATTTAGTGGTGCAGTTGCAAATTTCATAGCATGGATTTCACAATTTTTTCCAGTGAATATAATATGACAGTTTATGTAATATTTCAAATCCTCCAATTCGGACTGGACTAGATTTCAAGTTCGTGCAATTTGATCAAGTCCGAGGCGAAGCCGAGTATATTTATACGAATAAATCACGACTTAGAGTGAGGTGAATTAATTTTGATCCAGTCCAAGGACCGAGTTATTTTTTATTCAGTCCTAGGACTGGATCAATATACTTTATACTAGATTTCCAGTATTATCATGTGAGCAAAATAAAGCAATATATGTTTGGCTAATTTACTCATGAATTATTAATGAGTGTTTGAAGTGGAAATAAAAAGTATATCGTAATCTTCAATTCAACAGAGGTGGAAAGATGAAGTCTTAAACTGGGATCCTGCTGATTATGGTGGAATTGAAGAGATCAACGTTCATTCGAGTCACGTCTGGGTTCCACGGCTGTTGCTTTATAACAAGTATGTTAATATAGTCAAGTTATAGACCTAAGAGAGGGACCTGCCAGAAGCACCTGAGTTAGGTTATAGGAAGTAATATTAGATCCACGAAAAAAAATTGGCAATTACACTCTAAAACTAGAGGGCACTCAGAGACTGCATACCTCCGCCTACGCGCAAAATATTGAAGTAATCTATTGTTATTAGAATTTGAATGGCTGGTGCATATATTGTGCACGTCCTAATTACGCATTCAGTATAAAGTTTTATTTAATTGACCGGGAAAAGCAAGACAAACTTTTGTTATTTCTCATTCAATTTTTAACCAAATTCAACCAAATTTTAATCAGTTCTTCCTTAGCCGATGGGAAATGCACTCACAAAATTTCGTACGGATATGTTTGGTATTTCTTGAGTTATCGTGCTCACAGACAAACACACACACATACACACACACACACACACATACACACACATACATACAAACCCAGATGATTACATAACCTCCTGGCGGAGGTAACAAACCCAGATGATTACATAACCTCCTGGCGGAGGTAACAAACCCAGATGATTACATAACCTCCTGGCGGAGGTAATTACATAACCTCCTGGCGGAGGTAATAAACATACAAACCCAGATGATTACATAACCTCCTGGCGGAGGTAATAACACCATGGTTGAAAATTTCCTGGTTTTAAAGGACATTAATCGGAAAAAAAATTAGTTTGTCTCATTCAAAAGAATTCTTAAAATTATACATTAAACTCTATTACCGATTTGTCATATCTTGCTTAGTTCTCGAAATATTTAGACCGAAAATAATGAGCTGTCCTCCATGTTGGACTAAATGTCAGACAGCAACAAGAAACGAAACTTTGGACCTACTGTATATTGATCGCTTACTCTCAAGATAAAAAATAGCGTGACCCCTCTCTTGATGTAGCATGCATAGTATCCTCAATAATCCAAGATGGCGAACAGCTCACTTTTTTCAGTCGAAATATTTTGAAAAGTAAGCAAGATATAAACAATCTGTAATAAAGTTTAATATCTAGTTTTAAGAGTTCTATCAAATGAACTAAACTAATTTTTTATTGCCAATGCCCTTCAATCTAAACTTAACACTGTTAAGGGTAACTAAATGTTGCTGGTTAAATTACCTGGTTAATAGCCCACGTAACATGATCTGGTTAAATTGTAAACCAGGAATCTGGTAGTCTGGGACTGCACGCAGGCTAGGAATCTGGTTAAATTAGCCAAAACAATATGTGATCAAATTAACGAGGACTGTGGTAAAATTAACCAGGAAATGTAACCAGGAATATTAAGTTACCCCAAACTATGTTAATTTTAGATTAACAAAGAAATTATTAAGCAGGGTTTTTTGAGTGTATTATTCTCTATATATATATATTTGGTACCGGTTCAATCAGCCAGGATTATGATCAAATTAACCAGAAACATTGTTAATTTTAGATTAACCATGAATTTTTAATCAGGATGTTTTAGAGTAATGTACTAGGTACCCAATCCGACCTGTCGGCGTTCAGAATGATAGCTCAACGGGGTTCTTTTCAGTTCAAGCGGGGGGGGGGGGGGCATTGAACAAAGTTAGGTCGCTGATTTTGTTCTTAAATATTCATGGCATCAAGCGTCCCGCTGTGGTTTTGATAATGCAGTGGTTATTGCATATTTCAAAAAAGGCTGTCCTTCAAAAATCCCAAACCTTAAACTCTAAACGCGCAAGGTGTGATGGGTAACTTCTTACTTGAGGCCTAAAACGTGCAAATTTTGGATTGTAACTTTCGGCAAGACAGATAATAAGCGCTGAAGATGTACAAGTAGCAGTGTACTAGGATTATTTACCCAATCAAAAGCCCTGAAAAGAAGTTACCCATCACTCTTTGTGCGCTTAGAGTTAAAAGTTTGAGATTTTCGAAGTACAACCTTTTTTTAATTAACTGTATACCATTCACGTACGACACCATCTCCATTCACATACGACACCACCTATATACCTCCAAATTCGAAACAATACGCTACGCTTTTTAAAAAAGCTTTGAATTAAAATAGATATTTAACTGTTTTTCTTCACAGTGCGGACGATAAATACCCTATCGAACGAGATGACGCTTCAACAAGACTTTTGTTGAAGTATAATGGCAATATTACATGGGTTGTCCCGGATGTGTTCAAGAGCTCTTGCAGAATTAATGTGCAGTATTTTCCTCTGGATGAGCAGGTACAGAAAAAGCAATAACTTAAACACGATTGGACAACGCGGCGCGATTTTTCAGTTTTTGAAAGCTTTTAAAACCGCCAATGAAAAGAAATTTTTAAAAGATATGTAGACCAAATGTTATACCGCATCTCAAACTCATTAATAATTCATGAGTAAATTAGCCAACCATATTGCTTTATTTTGCTCACATGATAATACTGGATACCTGATGAAGTACATTGATCCAGTCCTAGGACTGGATTAAAATTAATTCAGCCTTGGACTGGATCCAAACGAATTAATTAGTGATTTATTCGCATGAAAATCCTCCAATTCGGACTGGACTAGATTTCGCATTTTGATCCAAAATCTAGACCAGTCCTCATAGTCGGATATGAAATATTACATCTAAATATTTGGAAAACTTGAACTATAGGATCAAAGTTATCTATCTGTGAAAATCGGAAAATCGCGCCGCGTTGTCGAATCGCGTCCGGTGTGTGTCGGCCTTGAGGCTTCGCCAATTAAGTTAGAGTTATAAACCGAGAAGGAGGTTTATAACTGATATATTGCCCCCGAGGACGCGTAGCGTCCGAGGGCAATATATCAGTTATAAACCGACTTTCGAGGTTTATAACTAACTTATATCTCATTTGTGGAGGTTTTCTAACATATTTTGTCATTTTCAAAAATGTTTGATGAAAAATTCTCGCGTTTTGTCGAAAAGTTTGATGTAATTATTTATTCAAGGTATATTAGCTAGTTATAAACCTCGGACGATCAAAGAAAACCGACACAAATGAGATATAATGATCCTTATCATGACTGTACACGTTTGCTTTTACTTTCAGTTTTGTTCATTACGAATTGGTTCGTGGACATTGGACATCGACAGACAGGATATCCAACCAATGCAAGAAGAAATGGACCTAACAATGTTCTCTCCAAACAGTCAATGGGAATTGGTCGAAACCTGGGCACATAGGAACCCCTTGCAACACAGTTGCTGCTCCAAGGAAGTTGCACAAATTCAGTATGATATTCATATCAAACGTCTTCCATCGTTCTATATATCCAACTTCATGTTGCCTTGTGCCCTGATCGCCGCTTTGGCAGCTATGGTATTCTTGACTCCAGCAGGTATGTGATCGAATGGTATTTGAATTAGAATAACAATATAACTCATTATCTATGTTAGTCAACGTTTATTCATAAATTTGATCCTTCACCGTCATGTTGGGAGTATTGTATTTTTGCCCAACTAACCAATAGCAATGTTTTAGAAAAGTTACCTACATCCGTGACTCGAACAATAGAGTAAGTTGGATTTGGCAAAAATACAATACGCATGTGACGGTGAAGGACCAGATTTATGAATAAACGTTGACTAACATAGATGAGTTATATTGTTATTCCATCAAGCTATTCTCTATGCACGTTCCGTTTGCACCGAGATAGGTTGATCCTAATGACAGGGTTATCCTCATTCCTGGGTCTGCTCTTGTCTACCAGAAGTTCCTGAGAGAACTCCTGCTGTTAGCACACCTCTTTTGGAATGCAGCCGTTGTATCAAGACGTGAAAATCTGTGATTTACCATTGTAAACAGAGCGAGGACAATGTCTAAATTATTCATATATTGTAATTACCCAATTCTTTCCAATGATCTATTGTATTGGTAGCCGTTGCCGTCCTAAAATCGTAAGGTCTCTATTGCAAAGGCGACAAGATCCTTATGAATTTGAATAAAAAGTTAATGGAGTATTTATAATAACACGGTTCAAATTTCCTCCCATATAAAGGATGGAATAACTCGTATACTGGATATTTAGGGAGAGCAGGCAGACAGAGATATTCTGTACAAAGATAGCTTAGTTCACTGCAAAAAAATTTGAAAATCCATTAAATGGAAATTGTATGGACCTTTATTGGAAATAGAATGGATTTTGATTAGTATAGAATGATACACTATGAATTTAATGGTGCAATTGCAAATGTCATAGTCCCAGTGGTTAAATTAGATTTGGTGGTAGAATTCGAACATTTTCAATGGTAACTTTTCCAACGTTTTGTTAATATTTCTCAGAAACCGGCGAACAGCTTGCGGTTGGTGTGACCATTCTCTTATCTCTGGTGGTGTTCTTCCTCATGGTGGAAACAAGAGTTCCCAACACTTCAGATCATCTTCCACTGATTGCCAAATATTATTGTTGTACAGTGATTGAGATTTCCGCTGTGTTGGCTATTACCTGTGTTATCCACAAATTTGAACACCACAGTGCTGGGCCGTGTCCTCAATGGGTACAGGTATGTACGCGCGTTCTGTTTCATTACATCTTACTATTATAAGTAATAGCATAAAAAGAGGCGAATAGACAATTCCCATTATAGACTAATTTTAAAACTAGGCAAGGAGATGCAAATAAATCACCACAGCTAGAAAGAGCATACTAAAATTAGTAAAATTACAAAATTAGGTTGCGAAATGTTGTAAAATGTGGAAAATATAGCCTTGCAAAGTTCGCAAATTTTGTACACTTTTGTATTGCGTGCGACCATTTTCGGCCTAAATGTGGTAGGAATGTGGTAGGAATTTCCGCAAGCAATACAAAAGTATACAAAATTTGCGAACTTTGCAAGGCTATATTTTCCTCATTTTACAACATTTCGCAACCAAACTTTGTAATTTTACTCATTTTAGTATGCTCTTTCTAGCTGTGGTGATTTATTTGAGTTTCCTTGCCTAATTTAAAAATTAGTCTATAATGGGAATTGTCTATTAGCTATTGAAAACGTCCCGCCCGATGAGGGTCGTTTAGTAAAATTCCCTTGGGCGCCGCTCGATGAGAGTCATTTAGTAAAATTCCCAAGGCCCGAGGGAATTTTACTAAATGACCCGAATCATTGAAAATGAGTTTTATCCAATCATTGAAAAATAAAAGGAAGAAAAACAATGGTTGACATGATTTGCCAATAAGCTTATGAATTATTAATGATATTTGAATAATATAAAAAAATGTTTTGCCTGATTCTAGAAATACATTATCGGTTACATGGGCAAGATGGTTTTCATGACATTCGGTAATGAGAAAAAGAAGATAGTGAAGGTCATAAATGTCTCTGAAGAACCGAACAAAAAGAAAGTTAACTTGGGACCGGCTGAACATAAACCACCCAACACGTGGATGAAAAGTAAGTGAAAAACTAGTAGAATATTATTTTTTTATTTTTATTATATGGACAACTACCGAATACAAAGCTATTCTGCAATTTCATTGGCTCTCTACTAGCAGGATATATCAGCTTATGTCTTGCTGCTCAAAAATTACTATATAGTTGTCTGAACGAGAAAAAATAATTCTAATAGCATTAGGAGGATCAAACACAGAATGAAAATACTCCCAGCAATTTTTTACAGGTTAGCGAATAAATGGTAATTATTAAACTAGTTAAGAATGTATATAAATTATATGATCGGTGTGCATGTGCATATATTGGTTTTCACATATGCTCACATATTTAATGCAGCGATGCAATGTTTGTTTTTTTTTCAATTACGATGTAATACCATGGTGCCAGCCCTTATGGTTATTTAATGGTTTGCCAGTACGCTTAAAAAATATACTGCTAAGTTAAGTACCCACCGGGCACACGACGTTGTTTCAACGTTGAAATTTGGTAGAAAAAAGGTTGCGACGTCGACAACCTAATATCTACGTTGCTCTGACGTTGTTTTACAAACATTGGTTCAACAGCAGCCAACAGACGTTGAATTAACGTTCATTCATGGTTAAATGTACGACGTCGATTTGTGAACCAATCTCAACGTTGTTTTAACGTGGATTCAACGTTGAATTATGGTTGACGAGATTGCCAACCAAATTTCAACGTTGTTTCAACGTCGAAACAGTAACGTCGATCCAATTTGCATAGTCAACCCTTTTTCAACGTCTATCCAACGTCTGGAAGGTCATTTCCAACGTTGATTCAACGTTGGGTAAACGTCATTTTGCCCGCTGGGTACTAGTTAAAACATGAGCAGCCGATCTTTATCTGATATACAAAATCGAGCCGAAGGCGAGAGTTTGTATATCAGATAAAGATCGGATGCGAATGTTTTAACGTGCTTAAAAACCGACCCATCTTATGAGTTCATTGGCGAAGTAATTTTAAAAATAAACATTGTCTAAGCCGGGAAAATCAAAGCTGAAGTTTATGTAAATCAGGACAAATCTTTATCCGATTTACAAACATTGATTAAACATTCATTTGTTTTGCATGTATTTTCCTCATGAATTATTAATGAATTTGTAATTGTAACATAATATTTCCAAGACGGGTAAATAAAGATTGATTTGATTTGATTGGTATATTTTGAAAAAAAAATAATGCAAAAAAGCGAAGATAAAAACATGAGGGGAATCAAATAAACTGATGAACTTTAAGCATGCTGTGTCTTCAATATTTTGTTGAAAAGTCTATTTGAAGTCAAACTCAATCACAGTCATAACTACACATTTTTTAGAAAAAGGATTTGGGAAACTTTTGGAAAAGAAAACGGAACCAAGTCCATTTGAAGGCAACAAGAATGTGGAAGCTATCGCAAGCAGTATGAAGGACAACCAAGCAAGCGAGGCTCTTGAGATGCAGTGGAAACACGCGGCAAATATCCTAACCCGGTTCATGGCTTTGGTCTATATGCTGGCGATTACCATCACCTTTTTTGCTATCATTTATAACACGGAAGATCAAGGGGCTGTGTTCCCAAAACCTCATTAAGACCTTACTTTTAGTACCTTTTTATGCACCAGGCAGGGGAGGTGTAGGGGTTAAATTATATGACTTTTTGAATTAGGTTTTACCGTTAGCAGACCCTGGTCGACATCTTAAACTCCCGTGGGATTTTTCATTTCTTTTCTTACGACTTAAATATTAGAAATTTTAGGGACTGTCTGTTCATATCTAGCTTAATAAAGCTCTCATCATGCACAGCTTTGATCAACATCCAAAATGATATTTCAAAGTTCAATTGTAGCTTCGGGGCCATTCACAAAGGATGTCCGAGCCGGGGGGTGTTGGAAAATCAGGACAAACTCGGGGGAGAGGGGGGTTTTTAGCAATCCGGATGTCCGAAATTTAAAAAAATTCAAAAACAAATTTCTTTTTCCTCTATTTTGAACTCTCCTTCCCATTGTCAAATTGGCATTTTGAACACTTCATATTATCTAATTCTTTCCTTCAATGATGAATTCAACAGTGGCGTCAAATAAAAGCTTTCTGCATGTATAACTCTCCTTTTCTATACAATAAGTTCATCCCGTTGTTACAATAACACAGTTGTTTGTTTTAATTAATAATTTATATGTTTTTGTATTCACATTTATAGTTATAAAAAAGTTCTAAAAGTAAAAAAAGTTTTTTACTCTTGACATATACAAGGTTGCGTGAGTTTTTTGCGAGGCATGGCGGATGTCCGGGGGGAGAGGAGGTCACTAATTCGGACAATGCCGGACAAGGGGAGGGGGGGGGGCTGTCTGAAAATCCATCATTTGGCCGGACATCCTTTGTGAATGGCCCCTAATAGTTTGATTCTAGTAACAGTATAAAGTTCATACAAACAATCTTTTAAAAAAAACGATCTTTAAAAAAATTCGTGATACGATTCGTCCCAGCAACCTGGACTGGCCCATGGGTTGGCCCAGCTAATTTGAATATATAATTTGAATATATATATATTCATAAAACCTTGTGGCAAATCATGTCAGTCATAATATGTCACGTGGAGTGACTTTATTTCTGATAAAACACATGTGGCATTACATAATTGTTCATCCTAATTGGCATTCTTATATAAAGAATATACTAATGAGACGGCATCTTTTGTATAGTCGTATTTTAAGCTATTCAAAACACTCGTTGTCGTGTTTTATCAGATATAAAACGCTCGGCTTCGCCTCGAGTTCTATATATGATAAAACACTCCTATAACTCGTGTTTTAAATAGCACTTACAAATGTTAAAGTCACGAGCACCAATATAGCCACCAAGTTCAATAAGTTATATTGTAAAGCTTTAATGTATCATTCTTTAATGTATCAGTTATGGAGTAAAAACCATTAAGTGGGTGAGACCAATCTAATATGCTAACGTTTAATATTGGCTTCATTGATGGGTTGGATAAAAGAATGAAAAGCAGCCAAAATATTGCATTTTCAAGACGGCATAACTCGAAGATGGTCCAGTCGAGTACAGAAAACAGCACCTCTCATGCGAAGTGCCCTGTCTTTGTGCATGAAGACTGGATACAATGGATTTTAATACTTAACAAAATAGATAAAACGAATCGAACATTACTCATTGCTTTTAATGCTATTTTAATATTTTTGACGATATTCCTCAACCTGCTTTCCATGATAACCATCAGAAAATCATCTCAGCTGAAGAACAAAGTGTGTTACTTTGTAATCCTAGTACAATCTGTCGTTGACTTTGGTGTGGGTATTTTAGGGATACCTTCATTCATCCTCTACCTGTCTACTCCGTTTTCACACATTCAAAACTGCCTTGTCGTTGTGGTTTTACTTCAATCTATAACCGTGGTTCTCTTGCTATCAAATGCGACATTAGCTGCTATGACAGTGGAAAGATACATAAGTGTGTTACACCCATATTCCTACCAAACCTTGGTCACAAAAGGACGGATCGTAACTTTCCTAAGTGTATTTGCCTTAATCTCCATTATAATTAACATCTTATCGATTTACATTTCAACTGAAGTAATGCACTCCATCGACGTTTTTTTACTAACAAATTTTCTCTTCATTGTCTATGCCTACACGAGAATTTATCTTGTGATTAGAAAGCTAGTCCGCTCCGAAACAAAGCCTGCCGACATCGTACAAAAGCACACCAAAAAGCGACGTCTTCTCTGGGAAATCAAGCATGCAAAATCCTGTTTCATTGTGGTACTATGCTATGCTGTTTCTTTGCTGTCTGTTGTAGCAAATCCATTTTACCACGACATAGAAAGTGCACAGCATGTAGCGTATTATCATTGGACAATAACCTTGTTTAATTTCAATTCAAGTTTGAATTCAATGATATTTTTCTGGAACAAGACAATGCTAAGAAAAGAGGCCAGTGTTGTACTGAAATCCATTTTATCGCGGTCGCATTAGGATATTTTCCTGCGAAACACAGCTGGCACTTCAGAGTTGTAACCAGATGTTTCACAAACGGACATTCACACGCTCAATATTTATATAGTTTTATTTTAACTGATAGAACGGCTCGTTAACTATATATTACATTATTATTATTACATTATATTATTATTATTATACATAATCAGGGTTCGTAGCGGTCTCTGAAATCCTTGAAAGTCTTTAAATTGGAATGCAGGTCTTTGAGGTCTTTGAAAAGTCTTTAAATTGTGTGAAAAAGCGAAGAAAGTCTTTAAAAGTCTTTAAATTCTTTAGTGAGGAATTGAGTATACGATTTCCTAGCTAATAAAATAGATTGATTGAATCAAGATTTTCGCAAATATCGACGAAAATGCGCAATTTAGGATGTGATTTGATGGGACTAATTACCGGGTAAAAATGGTGCTTACACTCGCAATTTTTCGACAGCTGATCGCTCTCGAAGGTCTTTGAAAAGTCTTTGAAAAGTCTTTGAAAATAGGCAGAAAAAATCTTTGGAAGTCTTTGAATTTTTTTGGTCTTGGAGACTACGAACCCTGATAATTATGTTACGTACTTAGCTTATAGAGTATTAATCTTACCAACAATGGACCTAATTTCCCCTTATAACTAAAATTTCGATCTAGACAATATCTATCTACAAAAACCCTTCACCGTTGAGAAATGGAATCTGTAAAATACTTGCATCCTAGGTGGCTGTCACTGCTTTCAATGGACCTTTCCTCTTATAACTAAAATTTTGATCTAGACAAAATTTTCATCACAGCTTGAAAGAGCATCACAAAATTAGTAATATTCCAAAGTTTTGTTGCAAAATCTTGTAAAATGCGGATAATATAGCCTTGCGAAGTTTGCCGTTTTTCAGTCATTTTGTATTACAAACGGGAAATTGACATACGATTCGGGTGTTGGGGCTGCAATTTCCCGTTTGTAATGCAAAATGACTGAAAATTGCAAACTTCGCAAGGCTCTATTTTTCTCATTTTACAACATTTCGCAACGAAACTTTGGAATATGCTTTTTGTGATGCTTTTTCAAGCTGTGATGAAATATTTGTCTAGACTTGCCTAGATCAAAATTTTGGTTATAAGGGGAAAGGTCTATTGTGATGTTACATTCCTAACTGTGTTTGATGTGTTTATCCTAACCCACCCTGTCAACTTGCCCTGTGGGAGAAAACCAGAGCGCCAGGGGAAAACCCACGATTTTCGGCAGAGCGTTGACGAACTCTTCACATGCATGCATGAGTCCGTAGCGAGAATCGAACCCACGACCTCAGAGGTGAATGGCACTTGCTATGACGACTGCGCCACCGAAGTTATGTATATGTTGCATATAGAATTATAAAAAACCATTGAAACGGAGCCCGTTCTGCGCTTGTGTCAGGTTCGAAATGCGCTCTGGTCATTGATGATCTTTTAAATATCCACTACGGTATAACCGCACTTTTTCGGGATGTAAATATAGTCGAGCGAAATTAGTATACCCTCCCCCAGGCTATTGCCCGGAACGTTGGCTCGGGGATTAAGTTATTGTAAATGGGGTGATTCCAGGTATAGACTAAATTTTGATCAAAGCAAGAAGAACGAAATCCAACACCACAGCTAGAAAGAGCGTCTTAGAATGAGTACAAATGCAAAGATTGGTTGCTAAATGTTCTAAAATGAAGAAAATATAGCCCTGTGAAGTTCGCAAATTTTGTATATATTTGTATTATGCGCGATAAAAATAACCACTTTCGGCTCAAAAATGGTTATTTCACCTCTCGTGTACAACGCAAACATGTCAAGACGAGACAAGTCTAAGTGAAACTACAAATTTGCTCAGTATAGAAGCGTTTCAGTTAACCATAAAGCCTGTGTTCTTAATCTCTTCAAACTGAACTCAATCCATATATACATGCAGTGGATAATAGACAACAACTCTTCTTCGCAATAATTTATTTGAAGAAGTTTGTTTTGGCTGTCGTCGTCGCGGTCCCTAATACTAACTAAGGTCCCTAATACTAACTACCCGACGAAAGGCCTAATTCGCTCGAAACGTCGAAGTTGTCCTTGTTGCATTCCTATCAATCCGAAACTTTCCAATAGAATGTATATTCGCCTTCCTGTCTCTTACAGTAACTTTCTTTTCTCCATGATCACGTCCTCATTGTGTATTTAGGCAGTATACAAATTGGGTAGAGAATGTACATTACTAAGCAATAGAGATTTCCCTACCTTCTGTAATTGCATATTTTCGACGTAAACGTTAAAGTCTTCCATGCTTATTTCTAACAGTCTGTACATCTGGAACAGAAGGTGTTTCTTTGTACTTTATATCTTTCTAAATCTTTTGCAGTCCTGTAAATGTAGAAAACGTGAAAGAAATGTATAAACTTGCAATACAGAAGCAAAAACGTTACACAGTAATTTGGCGATAATCTCACTAAGTAGGATTTCCACTTAGCAAAACTAATGAAATAAGATGGTTTGCCTAGCCGGACACCCCCGCCCCCCCCCCCCAAAAAAAATGTTATTGCATGTTCTCCTTAATTGAAGGTCGCATGACAACACAAGGAGGTGAGTGACAAACAATCTATATACAGGGTGTCCCCCAAAAAAGTGACACTATAGAAACAAGACGCCTGCTCAGGCGTTCACACTGGCCTGAAAATAACGAGATACGTGGTATGGTGCAAAAGGCAGGAATACAAATCTTAAACCGCAAGCAAATTTTATGGAGTTTTTAAAAAAATAAAAGACCTTTTCGGGAGACGTAATGGAGATCGATGCACGTGCAAATCATGCCGACCTACAGAATCGATTTCCGGTTTTTCCTAACAGCGCGTTGTTTTCATGTGCGTTCCATGGGCCGCGCTAAGAATATAAATATTCTGTACTGTAAATAACGAAATAAAAGATGAAAATCTCAAGACACAAGCTTGAAAATAACACTATAAATAGTGTTTTCGATTCTGGTTCCAATAATATTATCACGAAAAAGATATGTCCAAAGGGGCCGAAGTTATGTTCGGCAAAATGTGTGGCTAGTTTACATTGTTTGTTGTATTATGAAATATGATACTATACTTGTATTAAAATTCGCGCCGAACTAATGTTATTGTAAATGAGTAGACTTGCCACAAGTCGACCTCGAACGAAATGCGTTTCTTCGAGGTCGACTTGTGGCAAGTCTAGCAAATGAGAACCATACAAATGATACAATAATGGTTCTAGTTCTTGTTGGTATTTTGAACGCACGCTTTATCTTTAGTATAGCTACCACAAAGCTTTTCGCTCGCATTATATTTCGTGGAGTACTAAATATTATATTTTGTGGTTTTCGAGTCATTACACAAAGAAAAACACATTAATTCAACACGCAAGAAAGTCCAGAGTATGACACAACGTAAAATACATAGGAAACCGGCACAATTATTTGAAAATTCAACGAAACTGTGTAAAATATATGTTGATCACTCTGTGAAAAGCCGCCATTGCAGTTCGGAATTGTGCGCGTGCGTACAAGTGTATAGGCTAATAAACGAAAAATGTACCACAAGCATGGCATGAGTCGGCTATTACGTACATATATACGAGCTTAGTACTATACTATATAAATCATGGAACCGAGGGAATCGATGGCATTTTGGCTTAATGGTTGCACCCTGAGCCTGCGATGAGCTAACGCAAACTCGATTTCTCGACTACGAAAAAAACAGAAAAAGGGGGATTTAAGACACTTGGCCTTACAGGCCAGTGTAATTATCTCATTGTTCTTAAGCCGCTCTTAAACGCGCGTGATTACACGCCTGGGAATTTGATCAACTTGTATTTACATTTAAGCATTTTAAAGCGTTTTCGCTTTGTCCAAATATTTTAACTCCCGAGTCAAGCAAAACGATTACACTAATAAACGGTTTGCTTTTTAATTTTAAATTCCAGAAGCAGAAGTTTATGCACCTGTGGGATCAACTTAGTGCTAGGGCATTCAAATTATAACAATAGGATAATTTCTATAGTGTCACTTTTTTTTGGGACACCCTGTAGAGTGTGATATGAGACGAGAGTTATTGCTTAGCTAGATCGAAATCTTCAAGCGAACTGCTGTTTTCAGCGAGTTTTTTCTGTAGCTTGGTTGTTCGAATAGTCGAACGAGCGATCTATCTAACTATCTTTGTTTAAAATACCCTTCGCTGGGAAGGCCGATGGAGACGAGACGAAGGCTAAGAAGGTAACTGCCCGCAAAGAATGGCTTCGTGTGGTTTTACGAATGCAAAAATTGACCCCAGTTATAAAGAAAAGAATAGATGCTAATAATCTGTTCTTGTATCAACTTCATTTTAATTAAAGCAGAGGCATCGTTGATCGCAAGTATCGAGTCTTTTTTATTGCGCACGATATGCTTAAGAGGAGATTTTTTTGTATGTTACGTAACACGCGCTCAAAACTAATGCGTATAATATACCACTTGACTCTTGAGGTTATGACTAAATTCAAAATTATTTTTCGATACGTTTCTCAATCGGCAAACAAACTTAAAAAGCATGTTTAGTGTTTTATCTGTAAAATAATGCTAAAATGAAAAGATTTTAGATGATACGCCAAAGAGAAAATGATGTCTGAAGTTCTAGTCCGTGTGTTGTGACCCGATATCGTTCACTTTCATTAAGCATGTCTTAGATCTGAAATATTTTTACGGGAACTAACACTTTCGAACACGCTGAGTTCAAATCCGAAAAGTTCCCACTCCGTAGACCCGCAGTTTTTTCACAAAATGATTTTATCTTCACTAATTTCACAACAAATTTTTTCATTGTTCAACGATACGGATCGATGACGATACACGATTATGTCACTCAAAAGGACGAATTTGTATTAACCATTCTTCCTTTTAACAAAAGATCGGTTTTGCTCGAATAATTTTGAGTTATGTAATCTTATGCGTGTTGGACGTAAACAACATATCTTGTCTATAACTTTGAGAAGGTACAGATAACGCTTCCAAAAATCCTCAGTTCTAGAGATATCTCTATAAAATCACAATGACGTTAATGTCAAGTCTTTTAGCTATGTCACTGGCCTGAAAAATAACTCTTTTAACGCGATCAAGATATTTAAAACAAAAGTAACGCGAAGCCAACGTAACGGCAAAGATAACGCTAAAACGAAATATTGTCGAATGGTTGCAGGTAGAAGACTTACGACAGGATCAATCTTAAATAACCTTAAACTATAAGAATAAATGTTCACATCAAAGACAAAGATCAGTCACAAAGTATAAAATACGCTCTGTAAACTTACCGCGAAGTGGAGAAATGTGTGCCTGAGCTGTTTATTTAATGATTTCGACGTATATAGAAGCCCTCTTTCCAATAATACTCGCTTATCGCACAGCATAACATCAACTGATGTAATAGTTCAAATGCAATGATAAGTTATCTCTTGAATTACGTCTTGGAAACCGTGTTGGAAATTTCAGTGCTGATCCATTACATATAGATTACCGTTTTATATCTTTGTATAAAACATTTTGATCGCATGTAAGGAATTATTTCTCAGCCCAGAGACATAGCCCAAAGACTTGACATTAACGTCCTTGTGATTTTATAGAAATAGATCCAGAACTAAGGATATTAGAAGGAATTATCTGTACCTTCTCAAAGTTGTAGACAAGATATGTTGTTTATGTCCAACACGCATAAGATTACATAACTCAAAATGATTCGAGCGAAACCGGTCTTTTGTTAAAAGGAAGAATGGTTAATAGAAATTGGTCCTTTTGAGTGACATAATCGTGTATCGTCATCGATCAGTGATGTTGAGCAATGAAAAAATTTGTTGTGTAATTAGTGAAGATAAAATAGGATTTTGTGAAAAAACTGCGGGTCTACGGAGTGGGAACTTTTCGGATTTGAACTCAGCGTGTTCGAAAGTGTTAGTTCCCGTAAAAATATTTCAGATCTAAGACATGCTTAATGAAAATCGTTTTCTAGGCACTTTTCGAGGTCACAACACACGGACTATTCAGTAAGTTTTGTTTATATGGCTGTAAATATGGCGTCAATTTTAAAGCATAATTGATAAATTTTGTTTTCAACACGATGACTTAAAAGACGAGTAAAACTGTAAAATTATCGAAAAACCCTGCTCTCTAACATTGTAAATGCACAGGGAACTTTGAATAAGGAGCTGAGAATGTTATTGTGAGCCGAGACAGCGATTTACTGGGACTGTTTAGAGACAACGAGTGACTTTCCAGAGCAGTCAATTCACGTAGTCGCCGATTCATGTCAAGACAAGTTCTCAAGTGAAAGTTTATCGTTGATATAATTATACAAATTTCTACTCCAATTGTTGCCGACATTTTATCGGATAATAAAGGAAAAGTGCAGTGATTTAGTCGAAATTATAACACGAAAAGGAACGAGCGAAAATTGTCAATATAAATGTAAATTCAACCGGTGACATCTGCGACTGTGCTTGTGGTAATTGATATACCTCTTGCCTTGTAAACTTGTTTTATACGCTTGTATCGAATTAAGGAAAATCATTAATAAAATTCTTTAAATCACATAGCTTTCTTATTCCGGAGTACACTGTGCAATTTATCCCTTGGACAAAAACAAAGTTTTCAAACTTACGAGTGTCAAATTTGCGAATACTAGCAAAAGCTCTCTTAAACCAATGGCCCTGTTTATATAGGTGTGCACTTACAGAGAAATATTTTATCGTAGAAAAATTTCGTTTAATTTTTTTTGAATTGTGTATTTGTGAACATCCGAATAAATCGGTTCTCAGTTGACCTCTCACAATTCATCAAAGACATTAAGCGAAAAATTTTGACAGCAAGGAAAGCTTTAATTATTTAATTTGTATCGGCTTTCACTTAAATTTCGCTTCATTCTTTAATGTATCATTTATGGAGTAGAAAAAATTAGTGGGTGGGACCAATCTAATATGCTAATGTTTAATATTGGCTTCATTGATGGGTTGGATAAAAGAATAAAAAGTAGCCAAAATATTGCATTTTCAAGACGGCATAACTCGAAGATGGTCCAGGCGAATCCAGAAAACAGCACCGTTCAAGTGAAGTGCCCTGACTTTGTACATGAACACTGGATAGAATGGATTTTAACACTTAACAAACTAGATAAAACGAATCGAACATTACTCATTGCTTTTAATGCTATTTTAATATTTTTGACGATATTCCTCAACCTGCTTTCCATGATAACCATCAGAAAATCATCTCAGTTGAAGAACAAAATGTGTTACTTTGTAATCCTAGTACAGTCTGTCGTTGACTTTGGTGTGGGTATTTTAGGCATACCTTCATTCATCCTCTACCTATCTACTTCGTCATTACCGCTACGCATTCAAAACTGCCTTGTCGTTGTGGTTTTACTTCAGTCTTATACCATGGTTCTCTTGCTATCAAATGCGACATTAGCTGCTATGACAGTGGAAAGATACATAGGTGTGTTACACCCATATTCCTACCAAACCTTGGTCACAAAAGGACGGATCGTAACTTTCCTAAGTGTATTTGCCTTAATCTCCATTATAATTAACATCTTATCGATTTACATTCCAACTGAAGTAATGCACTCCATCGATGTTTTTTTGATAGCAAATTTTCTCTTCATTGTCTATGCATACACGAGAATTTATCTTGTGATTAGAAAGCTAGTCCGCTCCGAAAGAAAGCCTGCCGACATCGCACAAAAACACACCAAAAAGCGACGTCTTCTCCGGGATATCAAGCATGCAAAATCTTGTTTCATTGTGGTACTATGCTTTACTGTTTCTTTGCTGTCAGTTGCAGCAACTCCAGTTTACGAGGACATGGAAAGTGCACAAGATGTAGCGCATTATCATTGGACAATAACCTTGTTTAATTTCAATTCAAGTTTGAATTCAATGATATTTTTCTGGAACAAGACAATGCTAAGAAAAGAGGCCAGTGTTGTACTGAAATCCATTTTGTCGCGGCTACAATAGAATATTTTCCTGCGAAACACAGCAGAGACGAAACCAGATGTTTCACAAACGGACATTCACATGCTCAATATAATAGTTTTATTTTAACTGATACAACGGCTCGTTAACTATATTACATTATCATTATTACAATATTACTAGGAATAACCACGGGTTAACAGTCCAAATACTTTTAATTTAAATTTAAAAAGGAATAAATATGCAAGGGATTAATCTTCTCAATAAATTTCCGAAGCAAAGCCAATTAGTTTTATAAAATAAACGAACAGGGGACGGTTGTATAAAACTCTTACTGTCGTTGCATTGGAAATGTTGATAAAATATTGCAACAATTCATTACCTATAACATTGATCAATTCATTTGGTCAAAAATTGCTCAACTTCCTGTTTACTGGCGTGCTTGTTCCCAATTGGTCAATCAGTCACTGAAACGTAAAGCCATTGGTTGATTCAAACACACAGGAAGTTGATCAATTTCTCAACGAATGAATCGATCAGTTCGAACCAACATGGTGAATTAGAACGTGTTTAGAATATTAAAGTCTATTATATATATATACATATAAAAATTTGTAAGCAGATTAAAATCCATTATCAACAATTACTATTAAATTAGTATAGCTATTACTATTAAATTTGATATCACATGCAAATTATTGTTTTGAAACGTTCGAACACATAGCTGGATTAAAGCTATTCTTATATCGATCTGTCCGGCATTTAGGTACATTATACTCTATAGTCCTAAATGTCGGACAGATCGATATAAGAATAGCTGAAGTGAGACCTCTGTATGTACTGAAGTGAGACCTCTGTATGTACTTGTGTTGGTGGTCTTTATAAATCAATTTATTAAATGGTCTATGCAAGGTCACTAGGACCGTCAAAAATTGCTATAAAGTTTCTGTGATCTAAAGAAGGAATTTCAACGAACATCGGAATAAAGCGACTACTTGTTTTCCTTGTTTATAAAATAAAATATACCCCCGAATTATTACGGTGCGGCCTTGTTTGCGCATGCGTAGTTTTAAAGCTATATTATATGCGTATCTATCTATGTATCTATGTATCCAGCCTAGCCCTAGGCTCTCTCTCTCGCGCATAGGGGTACGAAGGGGTACTTGTGGTGGGAGAGGGGAACTAACTGACGTCATACCTAAGCTAGTTTTATCGATCGGTTCGTTTTTCGTTGCCCCTGCAGAACGGCTAGGGACTAGGCTGCTATGTATCTTTACTTTGAACTGCATTTAATAATTGAAATTTTGCAACATAGTTTGTATCCAGAAATACTTGAATAAAATTCTAATATAAACAACCGAGAAAATCTGAAAATTGTTGTTGAAGATACGCGCCAGGATTTTGGTCCCATAACTATTTGAACGTATATTTTTAGTATAAAACAAACTCTTGGTTTGGAAAAGTTAGCAGGAATTGAAGAATGTTTCACTTTCACCAAATAACAAAATAACAAATAACAAAATGGCCCCCAAGTGAATGGCCCCCAAGTGAAGTGCAAGAAACCAGATATGGTATACCAGTGGATTATGCAGGGTACGAAGGGATCGATCGATAACGCGAGGAGGCCTGGACGCGGATCAATGATGCGTCCGACTATCAATGAGAAGTCCGACTGTCTACGGAAAAAAAAATTGCGCCGCCAGCAGCCACGCATATGCTTGTCAGAGTAATGGCGGCCTAGCAAGAACTATAATAAAATGTTTAAAGTTTGTTCGTTCACTGCAACCAGGTATATCAATCATGTTTCGCCCGCTACTCTGATTTAAATGCATGGCGAAAATCGCTTTGTCCTTTGAATCCCATGGGAGTGGTTGCACATCAGGACCTATACAGGGTGTCCCAAAAAAAAACGCAAAACCATTGAAATAACGTATTGTTAAAATGCATTGTGAAATTGACATCCGTGCTACTAAATCCTGTATTTTTCCGCTTTCGGGGGGTAAAATGGAAAAATAAATCAGAATTATAAAAATACAGGATTTAGTAGCACCGATGTCAATTTCACAATGCATTTTACTACAGTTACTTGCTAGGCCGCCATTACTCTGGCAAGAACATGCGTGGGTGTCGGCAGCGTAAAAAATATCAAAGGAGTGAGCCATCTATATGCTCAAACTGTCTCAGTGACTTCCCGACGAAGTCGAAGGGCCTTCGCTCGAACGTCGAGGTTCTCCTTGTTGCATCCCCATATCAATCTGAAACTCATCCAATAGAATGTATAGTCGCCTTCTTTTGTCTTAGAGTAACCTTTTCTCGATGATCACGTCCTCATAGTGTATTTAGGTAATAGGTATAGTGACAAAAATTAGGCAGGCTAGTATGTACATTACTATAAGCAATATAAATTACCGTACCTTGTGTAATCACATATTTTCGACGTTAAAGTCTCCCAAGTTTATTTCTAACAGTCTGTACACCTGGAACAGAAGGCGGTTCTTTGAATTTTATATCTTTCTAAACAGTCTTTTGCAGCCCTGTAAATGTAGGAAACGGGAAAGAAATGTACAAACTTGCGAAACACGAGCAACAAAGCTACACAGTAATTATAAATATATCGATAATCTCAGTATAGGGAGGATTTCCACATATGCCTGCGCTATCATTGTTTACCGCTGTTGATGCATACATTATTTTGAAAATTATTTGGTTGAACTGCTAACAACAATAGCCCGTCGACATAGCGCAGGTACACAGGGTGTTCCAAAAAAATTGTCTTCCTATAGAAATCTCGTTGCTATACGTGCGTTGTTATACCTCTGGGAATTTAAAAGGCCTGTTTCTAAGGCCTGTTTCAAACGTCGCGCTTCTCATGTGCCGAACGCATTAGAAACAATAGATGAGGCGTTTCAGCTGATTATCTGCTGTTTTTAATGCGTTCGGCACCGATGAGAGGCGCGACGTTTGAAACAGGCTTTAAACAAACAGCAACACAAAAATGTCAAATTACAAATTCCTATTACCGTCAGTTCGAGTAAGAACGATTCAACTGACTAGAGAGCAACGAGTATTTGTCGTAATAACTTACACGTTAACGCAAAGTGTAGCCGAAGTGTTAAATTATTTGGACGAAGGGAAGTTGTAAATACTTCCGCCGTTCATGTACTATTAAATTAAATTCCCAAAGGGCAAAGGTATAATAACGCACAAGAGTCATAACTAAACAACAACAACAACAACAACAACAACAACAACAACAACAACAACAACAACAACAACAACAACAACAACAACAACAACAACAACAACAACAACAACAACAACAACAACAACAACAACAACAACAACAACAACAACAACAACAA